GTTGAGCAAAGTCAGGATACTCAACTAGCAACCCAACCTCCTTGGCAACATGACGGGAATCCGGATACGCGAGTCTACCGGCAGTAGCAACGCAGTGGAGCAGCAACATTCTCGTGACAAGACTTCTCTCTGCTTCATAACGCTGCTCATTCCACTTGTGATCTGAGGCTATGTTTTGCAGAACGGCAGACCTAGGAGGAGCTCCTATCGGTCCTATCACATGTGCAATCCTACCCTGGCGTGCACCCCAAATCAAGGCATTCCACAATGCATCTGATCGCAGGTCTTCCGAACGACACTTCTGAAGATCAAGCGACAACACCTGGTAAACCTTGTCCTTCGGGGCCTCGATGCGCTTTGCATTCTTGTCGCCCGAGAAAAGATGCACAATCCAGTTGCGCGATGCGTGCAAGGACTTCCTAGATCTTCTAGAATGAGAATGCAAACCTTTCAAAGCTTCCCATCCCTTCAACCGATCCTGATCTGGCAATAACGACCGATCAAACTCACCTTCCATGAACGGAGCTGCGTCCAACGCAGCAGTCGCCGGTTCCAAGAAACCATCCTTGGCATAAGCCCTCAACCACCCAAACCAAGTCTTATTCAACCTATACTTGGCTTGCTCAACTATGGTTTGGGTGCGAACACAAGCCGACTGCAGTTCATTCACGGAGCTGGTGATGGCCTTTTCTTCTAATGGTGGATGACTCCCATTCTACACCGCTGTTAGGAGGTCTAAGGGCATGCGTTGCACCAGAATCCACTAGGGCATCGCTTTCTTCACCAACCCCAACCTTTGCATCGGCACCCTTACACTCACCAACACTAAGGACCCTAAGACTAGGTGAAGGCCGAGCCCCCGAATCGGACGGTTGCAAACGAAGGCCTGCTTCACGTATCAACTGATCCAAAAGTGATGGCTCTATCCCGCGAGCTTGCTGGACAGACGGGACCGGCAAATTCTCTTGCGACTGGACTCCTGTAACCCCTGAAATCAAACTGGCAACAGCTGGCGTCCCTGAAGGCTGAGATACAGCAGTGGACTGATTTGCAACCTGAGCTACCTGTGCGGGCAAGCTTGACAACTGAGCTACATGTGCTGGCACACTTGACAACTGAGCTGCATGTGCAGGCGAGCTTGACAACTGAGCTGCATGTGCAGGCGAGCTTGACAACTGAGCTACAGAAGCAGGCGAGCTTGACAACTGAGCTGCATGTGCAGGCGAGCTTGACAACTGAACTGCTTGCACCGTTGACGTTTGAGCATTCTCATAAATGGCTGCGGAGCTTGACGATCCCCTGTCGTTGTTGCTTGTCTGCCCTGGTGTCTTACTGGTCTTCGCAATCGGACACTCACGAGCCCGGTGACTTTCAGCACCACACCGTAAGCATTTACGAGCCTTGGTTGCCTTATCCAAACTCGAAACATCATGCGGAAACTTACAGTTCTGCTTCTTACAACCCTGAGCGCGGATATGAAGAATTTGCATGGGGCCTTCGCCGCAGCCTTCGGCGATGGGGCATTTGGTACTCCTAAAGCCTTGATTTGAGCTGTGACGCCGGTGCCCTGATTGGTCACAAGACTGTCTACTTCAGCCAGCGCATGACGATGAAATGCGAGTACCCCTTCCAACGTTGGGGATTGATCCAACCTCAACGCCTGGCGGGCAACATTCAACTTAAAGGCAAGATCTTGGTTTGAAGCCATAAGCGGTTGAAGGACGGAACTAAGTGATCTTACCAGGATTGACGGATCTGGCAACACCAATCCTATCTCCTTGGCTCTGGCCTCCCAACGTGCCCAGTTGCGCAGTGTATGCTGCGCCTCCAATGGTGTCTTGGCCGGCGATGGGCTATGGAGCCGCTTCAATACCACCTCCTGTTCACTAGACCCTGCAGGCTGGAAAAGCAGGAACAAACGGAACAGAATTCTAGCTGAAGACCCAACTTCTTGTCTTGCAACTAGATCAGCCTTCAACGCTGCCGGAACTACCGCTAACAGCATCCCTGCAACTCGACTGTTAAGTCTATTCCATCGCTGCACTCCGCAAACCGCTTCATCGGGAAGGTTTTGGGACCTACTCAGGGGGTCTGCTTGCATCCATTGCCGATAAGCCTCACCAACAGACTGGCGTACTGCCAACCACCACTCTGAAGAGGTCTCTGATACATCTGCTAGGATGCAGCTCGACACTTGAAGCCATTCCCCAAACAACAAAGGCATCTCTTCCCCTGAGCCCTGAGGTAACGGTGGAAGCTCAGTGGTTCCAGGCTTCAATTGCTCTACCTGACTAGGACTACTTCCCCCAGATGGTGCATGAGCTGGCGCTGACGACTTGAGAGCCTCCTTCTGAAGCTCCTGCAGTTGCTCAATAGACCGTGCGATGGTCTGAAAAGCAGAATCCTGTGCGACTGCAAGCTGGCGAGGGCCTACTGACCGATGGGCGGGATCCGCGGGTGTTACTGGCGGATTCGGGCGTTGATTAATCTGTGGGAACGGGATATGCGAGGTTGGTGCTCCAAACAAACTCGAACCTACGCCTCCCGGAAGAGTGGCAGCTCCAGACCCCTGACTATTACCGACGACACCACCCGGGAGCGTTGCCGCTTCACACGGTTGGTCCGTCTGCGCTGGAAATCCCGACACACCCTGATTCTCAACCCGAGTTGACCCTTGAACCGTGGCCATTAAATCCGCCAACATACCTGACACGGAAGTCCTCCATGAGCCCTTGGCCTCTCTAGCTGGCGATTGGTTGGTGCTTACCTCTACTGGCGCCTCGGAACGAGTCGGAGCTTGATGCTCTCCCACTCCAACACCCGCAACCAAACCCAACTGATCCTGAACCGCAGCTACACTTCTCTCAAGAACCGTAGCATCGCTCAGCATAGCTATCACATCCATTCCTTGGCCCTGAAGAAGAACATCTACTATGATTCCAGCATGACTTTCATCAAGAGCCCTGACCAATGGAACCAATGCGTCATACAGCAGCTGTCCCTGTTGAGCGGGTGGCATGGCTGCCAACGCCGCGAGGCTCACACTCAAGCCTGGAATAACCTGCTGATTCGCGCTAGGTGGTGAAGGTGCAGGCGCTCGCAACACCGGAAGTTGGGTAGGTTGTGCTTCTGCGCTCGGATGCTCCGGGTTTCGCCTACCCTCAGACGCCACAGCCTCCAAACGGTTCCGCAAGAGCTGATTCTCCTGCTCTGCTGCCCTTACCCGATACATCAAACCCTCCAGCTGCCTAGTCACCTCGGCTTGAATAGCGTCATGAGGCAATGATGAATGTGACGATGGAGGTGCATTCCCATCCCTACCTGGCTGGCCCATCGCCCCTAATGGAAAAGACGACATAGCCATACCTTCAAAGGAAATTGGAGCTTGTCGCATTGACCCTGGAACCACAGCTACTTGTGAAGTTGGTCCCGAAGGTGCCTGTACAGACCCCGCCGCAATCCAGCCGTAACCCGAAGATGTCATGTTCACGATTGGTGCCAACAGCGACCCTGCGGTCTGCCCCTCAGGTCTGAAGAAGCCCTCCAACCAACGAAGCCCCCTCGGCAAGCTCGTTGGGCTCGGAGCCGTCCCCACAGCTTGCGGGGACCCAAACCATCCAGGAATCTGAGAAGACCTTGGAGTTGCAAAAGCGCTTCTCTGCTCCAACTCTGTTGGTTGCCCTCCCTGCAGCTCATAAGCGGCAGCACCATCTCGAAGATCAGTGTCTCCAGCGCCCCCAATTGGGCCCGGAGCCCGGTCCCCCTGCGATTGTCCCGCTTCGCTTGTCTGCAAAAGAGCGGCACCTGTACCAACAGGCGGACGCTGCTCTTGATTACCACCTTCAGCGGAGCTTGGCACATCAATACCACCAGATACCCCAGCAGCCTGCGCAATCCTCTGCTCTGCCTCCACTAAAGCTTGTGGCCTCTGAACCATGGAATGTGGAACCTCTGAAATTCCCACTCCCTGATGGCCATCGCCGGTTGTCGAGGTAGCCGTGCTCACCAAAGGATTTGTTCTATCCCTTGACGCCGATGTCGTAGACGAAGAACCCTCAAGCACTGATTGAAGCGCAGGTGCACCGCCTTGGGCAGCAACTTGGGAACTCATAACCTGAGAAACATCGGATTGGCCTGTGTTGATCTCGCTCCCGGCGTCCATGACTGATACAATCGCTAATCTTCTCTCGTATCGGGTTTCAATTCAAGTCAGAATCAGCAGATGACCATGAGCGCACGGCGCGAGCGGATTTAGTCTTTTCACTCAGCGAGGCACAAGGCACGAAAGTGCTTCAGCACTTGGATCTAGCTCTACATTAAAGATGGAGCTTTCAAGGGTCTCTGATCTTTACACGACTTTAAAAACCCTTCCAGCCTAACGCACGAACCTTGAGCCTGGATCTTGCACGGCATGACTGTCACCACCGTAGCCAGCAAGACTCCAGGGACTGTACCTGGCGAGGGGCGGGCTTTCCGCAGTTCAGGTAGAAGCCAAACCTTTCAGCTTTAGGTTCAAGCCAAACCGAGCCAGCCCTCCAGCCTTGCTCAAGCCTTCCAGCCTTCCTCCAGCCCCAAGCCCCAGCTGTTGACAGCAGCAGCGTCGTTCCCCCTATCAAGCTCAACAGCCTGATCATGACACTATGTAGGAGTGTCTCCTCAAAGAAAGGTCTACTGGACATCCAGTCACAATGAACATAAAGCATGTCTGCAATTGCGTAAGACTAGGCTTCTTTTCCGTGCCTCGAACTGGCTTCATGCATGCTTGAGCCACCGATGGTGCCGATGATGAACATGTGCCCCTGAGGCTCCACAGCACACAACAGGAACAGCATGATCTGTTCTTCAATTCACACCCCCGCTGTGTTGTGGATGCCTCGTAAGGGTTCAAAAGCAGAAGACTGCATACTCCTTCGTAACGCAATCCGAGTGAATGTGTTTTAAACAGTTCACTGTGAGCACTGCAAACCCTGGGCCAAAACCAAAACGTGTTACAGAGGAGCCTAAACGTCTATTGACGACTCCAGCTCTCTGTTTGCCGGTTCTACGGGCCGCAAACGCCGTACTTCATGTTGCTCCTTCCGTCCAGAAACTTCACAGTAAGTGATTCGAATGAGTGAGTCTTCGAGAACCTTGCGGATTGCATCGACTTGTGCACCAGAGGAACTAAGCTTTGTCAAACCGTCTGCCAACATATGCGACCCATTAACCCAGAAAGTCTGGAACCCATAGTCAACTACCAGGTCGTAGAGAATCTGGTACACAAGGGACTGCATCTTCACTCCTTGCCTAGTGGACGGTTTCTCGGTCTGAATTGAATCGTACAAACCCTTATTATCAGTAACAAGAGCCCGCACTGTACTACCTTGAGTGAGTTTCTCCTTAACCTGTCTTGCCTTCAGACCGTAAAACACTTGCTCGTAAAGCAACATCAGATTGATGGAAGCATCTGTTGAGATAGTCGCAGCTTGCAACTCTGACGCGTAGCTTGACCACACGGCCCTATCTATCTTGCAACTGGAGTAATCAGCTAGCACAGCCCGAACCTCCTTACCGGCCAGCACTTCTTTAGGAGCCCAAAACGCAACCGTACCGGACTGAGAATGGCCAGAGGGCCGCGAAGTGTGGCCTGCGTCAGAAAACACTACGAGAGTAAGGTCATCCCAATGTTCTGCTACCTTGGCAAAGGTAATGCTGTAATCACGTGCTTGAAGGGTCCTAACTATCTTATTCAAGGAAACAAGGTGCTGCTTCTCGGGACGAGAACCATACGAGGCAAAGTGTGAAACGTCGTAGGCTACGTCTGGACGTGTGTTAACTGCAACCCACAGCAAAGCACCAAGCTGAGACCAAAACTGTGTCTGACCTTGCCTGTCTAAGAGACCTTCGGACAGCTTGCGAGTAGGAAGTACCTTCAGTTTTGCTACGTAGTGCGCTTGATCAATGGTTATGGCACGTGTTTGTGGATGTTGTTTAACGTTCAGACCTGTGTAGAGGACAGGCGCCATGTCTGCGTACTTACGCTCTCCGAACGGAAGTCGCGCCACGAGCTTAGCCATAGCCTCTTCAAACCTAGGGTCAACACTGGACGAACACCCAGCAACTAACAGGTCATCAACATGGGCACCAACAATTCCCAATATCTGACCCTCTCGACGAAGCACATACACGCAACGATCTGCCGGAACCTGTTCGAAACCACACTTCTCTAACTCCGCAGTTAGTCGTCTGTACCAAGCTAAAGGGGCCTCGCTTAAGCCGTAAGGTACTTTCTTGATCCTTGCGATGACATCGGCTCCTAAACCCAGTTCCTCAACAAGATCTTTGGGTAGTTCGGTGTATATTGGCTTCGTTCTTGAGGTTTGGTCACCTGCGAGAAAAGCAGTCTTAGCATCTAGAGTAAACACCCGAAATTGGTAGTGACTAGCTAGCGTGAAGATTGCATGACGTCCTTGCCGCGACAAAGTGGGACTAGCCGTACTAAACTGACCTAAATCGGGATCCCTGAAGCCTCTGATGACTAGTCGTGCCTTGGCCTTGGCTCCCCCAGGACCTTGATACACTTCCCCTGGTACTGACTTCCAAGTCAACACCCAGCGTGAAGCGATAACTCTCCTAGGATCTACACCGTGCCTACTTATGAGTTCGACGACGTCGTTACCGACCCATTGTGACCATTCCGCAGCCTTGGCTGCTCGGAACATGGCCTTCTCCTGAGCTGTGAGGTGGCGCTCAGAGACTTCCACCGCCCGCTTGCGAGCCATGGATGCATTGAGAGCCATCTCACGGACTAAGTAACAGACCGACATTTCATCTTGAATTTCATCTAGCCATACATCGAACTCCAATCCTACGGAAGTCGCTTCGTAATCGTGCTCTTGAGATTCTGAAAACCACGCCTCCAAAGAGTGATCCGAAGGCATGCCGTCAAAGTCAGAAAACGACAAGAAGCTCCCTTCTCGAGGTGGTGGTGACCTACTGCGTGGTCGCGGCTCCGACTCTAAACCCGTACGAACAGTAGGTGGGACTGTGGTCCCGCGCAGTGGTGCTACCTCAGCAGTTGAAGGCGGACCGTGCACAGACCGATCCCTTGACATTTCTTCAACGGCTCGATGAAACTCAGATACGCGCTTAGTGCCCCTATCCCCCACCAGCGATTCCCCCCCGCTTGGTTCACCACCCGGTGGTGTTGGTGTGTCTTCTGGCACTGCTAAGGTTGGCACTCCCGTGCTGGAAGCGTCAGGAACCTGAACGGGCTCTGGCGGCTGTTCGGCTGAACGTACAGGTCCTAAACGTGGTGTAGCAGGCACTGGTGTACCTGGTACGGGAGTTCCAGGTGCAGTAGGAGGGGCCTGAGGATAGGGATCATATTCGGCCTCACCCTGGAGGTCCCCTAAAACTACAGTTGACTCAGGTTGCTCATATTCCAATTCCAATTCCGCGGAGCTGGGCCTTTCATTTCTCACGTCTATTCCCCGAACCTTTCGCATCTCACTAAAATTACGCTGCTTGGCTAGACCTTCTTCCTGGAGCTTCTGCATGACCCATTCCGCCTTCACGGAGACCGGGCGTAATTGGTCAGGACTGCACAAGAAAAGCCGGCCATGCACAGTGACGTATACTACCCTTGGAACCAAACGATCATTGGTACTTTCTACAGCAATGACTTCGCCCGGTCCCAACCACACGCCGTGTCTGCCTGGATTGGCCGCATCTCCCTTTCTACGACGATACACTAAAACCACTTGACCTGGGTAGTAAGGTCCCTTGTAGGGCCTAGACCTAGTCGTCATAATTCGGGAGGTGCGATCTCTGACCTCGGATTGTACCCACGCCGTGCGAGCTGCCACTCGCCTGAGCATCATAACTTCGTATAACGGATCACTTCCTTGCAACCGCTCGGCTAAAAGTCGGAAATCTTCGTCTCCTTCTGCGAACGTGGGCGGTGCTTTCGGAAGCTTGCCAAACACGAGTACTGCCGGCGACACTCCTTCAACCCGCATTAGTTCGTTTCTAGCTTGGACTACCTCTACCGCGGCTTCATACGCGCTACAAGTTGGCTCACTCTCGAATACCCGTTGGGCTTGTTGCCGGATCGTACGATGTAGACGCTCGATCTGACCATGCTGAAACGGGGCTTGGGCTGCCGACAGTCTCTCAACAATGGCGTGCCTAGTGAGGAAAGCAGCAAAAGTCTCGGAACGAAAGATGGTGTCAGGGTCTGCATAGATGTATTCGGGCGCGCCGTAACTGTCTATCCACCCCCGCCTGAGAGACTGCACGGCGGCCTCCGCGTCACCGGAGGACAGATAGAATACGCGAGCAAACGATGTTGCCGTATCAATGGCAGTGAGCAAGAACACGCGATGCTGCACAGCGTCGCGGATCAATGTTAAATCCAAGGTATCAATGCTCAGAATGCTGTTAAACGAGCGGGGTTTAGGTCCTCCAACGACGTTGTGTGGTTGTGGAGGCTTGAGAGCATCACAAACGGCACAATGAAACCGTGAAGCTTGCTGTAGCAGCCATGGTGCAGCTCCCGCGTCGCGTAGATGTTGGATGAACTCGGACCGCCCGGGATGTGAGAGTCCAACGTGTAATCTATTCAGGTATTCGTGGACCTTCCGGGCATCAGCAAACGAGGGAGGTGCACCTGGAATTGGACGCTCTTTGGGTTGTGATTCTGCAGGAATGTGAGGCTGCGAAGGCGCTGGCACATCACCGAAGAAGCTGACAACTAAGTTGGCATTAAGTGGCACGCGAAACTTCTTCTTGCTCAAACCGAGTTCGTGATTATATTCTACAAAGTACCAAACGCCCCCGCTTCGTACAAGCGTGGTTCGGCGAGTCGATACAACACCCACCGGAGGATTCACGAAACACTTTAGACCTCTGGACGTGACCACCGTGTGCACATCCAAGCCAGACCACTTCTGCAGCTGTGTTTGCACTTGCAAAGGCAAATCGAGTTTGGAATAACGGCCTGGGAACTGCAGAAGCGTCAGCTGTTTGGACATTTCAGTGTCTGTAACCTTGAACACGGTAGCCGGCTTGTCGGCACTTGAGGCCTCCGAAGACACCGGTGGTGAAACAGCCGGTGGTGGGATCGGAGACTCAACAGACTGGGAATCTACCGGATACGCCCTATGAACAATACCATCTTGACCTACATAGCATTGCTCCACAGGGTTCGACTGAACGTGCTCATCGTAGTGCAGTGGTGCAAGGAAACTGGCTTGCTCCACTAGGCCTGGCCTCATTCCCTGAATCAGGGCTTCAGCGAGACCTTTCGAATACTCCTCACTCCAGGTGGTAACCGATCTGCCCCGAAAGCTCCCCACGGCTCGATCATGCTGACAGTCGCAGCTACATCTGAACTGAGAAATGTGCTCAGCGAGAGCGCGTGCTGTCGTGAAGAGCGTGGTGGTCTTTCGGATCGGACGGTTACTCCTGGGATGACGGAGTCCGAGAGCACACCCATCAAAAGTCACAAAACCATGTGGCACCTTCAACTCACCAAACCTTTTATCTAACCAGGCCACGGAAGTTTGCGGGTTTTGTGCATGTGCATGGCGGTGCCCTCGCGACTGCCGATCAACGATTTGAAACAAAAGGTCCATGTCCTTCCTGCCCTCCAATCTGTCCCGCAAGACCCTTAACCTAGCTCCGGGCTCTCGCCGCTCGTTAATGCTAGACCACCTACACCAACTCTTGGATGGTAACGATACGTAAACGTCTCTAGGTTTACACAGATCGATGAGGGACAGCGTGAACCATTGACCTTCTGGTGATCGCAACTCTTGACCATACATGTAACCCAAGCGAATGGCTTCCGAGCCTTCGCACAACTGCTCATGGGCATCGCTCAAATGACCCCGACCGGCATAGACCTCAATGAGACCTACAGTTGAACCTCGGTCGATTTTCCATGCTTGAGCACTCAGCCACGTCCTGAGTTGTGCTCTCGTAGCCCGCTTGTTCATATCAAGTGGCCCCGTCGCCTTCCACGCCCCCGGTAGCTGCAAACCAGGTTCTACGGGAATATCAACACCAACCTCAGGCGATAGCCTAGGCCATGATGTACCTAAGTAGGCACCCTCTTCCTGTGGCTCGGCGTGAAAAGGCTTGGGGGGCACAACCATACCGGATACACATGCTAGCGCAGCAACACCTGCTCCCAACCATCCGAAAAGTCGGGATCGTTGGGAACCCTTTGATATGCTAGGCTGCCGCTCTCTGAACCGCTCATCCCCGGTGGCACCGGCATCCGCGCAACCGAAGGCACCGTTGATGACATCGCCCCCGAGGTCATGGAATCCACTCGCGGCGGCACCGGATTCACCGACGGAGCTCCCGACAGTCCAGCTTGCCGTCTGAGCCAGGCTGCCCTTGCGAGAAGCTCGGCGGCTTGACCCTCCAGCTCTACCGCCTGCTCGATCAACGACTTCTCCATAGGAACATCGGCAACCACCGTAGGTTGCACACCATACTCGTGATGCATCATCGTCTTGACTGCATCCAACACAACCTTGAGGTCCGGTGCTGGGGCTGGCGATGGAGCTGAGGATTTCGCACCGGGCATCGCTGTCGATGCCATTGTTGATGACGGTACCTCGGCACGCAAAGCTTGAACTTGATCGGTCGTCATCGTCGCCCTGACCCTCGGAATCGCTTCCACATTGTCCGTGGATCGTGTAGTATTCCACTCCGGTGCTGCCATTGCTGATGCTGGCAGCGCCTTCGGGTGGACATCCTGCTTTTGCATCGTGATTTTGCGAATGTCGAATGGATATGGAATGCTCTTGCTTTTCGGGAGATGGATTTCGGCGTCGGCGACGCGGATGTGATCGCCTGTGACGAGTGGAGACATCTGCATAGATACCGTGGGACCTGGAATCATAGTGCACTCGCAATCCCGACGATGGGTGTAAGTCAACTGTCCGCTGGACCGCACCCATTTCGCCACTCGGCCCCGACAAATCTTGCATTTGCCGCGGCATATTGCACAGTGCCATGTTTGACCATACCCGTTGGAGAAGGTCTCCACCAGATGACTGCCCACATGGGCGTATGCCGGTGGTGTGGTCGCCTCCTTGATCACACACTGGCACTCGCTCATCACTCTCACCTTCGTCACAACTTTGGAACTCTAACTCGTTATCCTGAGGGCTTTGGAGCAAGGGAGCATGCATATCAGCATCAGAAGTTTCATGCACATGATGCGCCATCAACACCTGGTCTCCACGTGCTGCGAACCCTTGCTCTAAAGCAGTCTGCCTAACATTCCCGCGCAGATCACTGTCCTGTGGCTTGGTTGCAAACACAAACAGGAACAATCGGGCATCCGAGGCATCAATCGCGAGTGGTTCACCGGCGCACTTGGCACACTCCGTCCAATCCTTAAGCACTCTAAACGTCCTGTCGCCCACGGCTACCACTAATACGCTAGCCTCCCTCAGTGAGGCTGGCGGTGGCCGCCTAACCACTCTCGATCGATAGCCAATTTGAGCCGCCCGTATCTGCCAGGGAATGTCGACGCTTATAAAACCGTGTCTACCGATCACTAAGTGGACCGCTGCAAGTTCTTTTGGAAGTTGAATCCAGGGCCCTTTTGTGTCCTTTGCCAACCTCAATAAAACACTCTTGGCTAACTTATCTGATCTCCTGGACAACTCTGCCATCTGGGGCTGGTAAGTTAGAACGGCCGAGGGGTCCGGAGGATGAACGTTTGCCCTATGGTTTTGGGACACTGAACCGAGCCTTGAATCTGCCTCTTGCTCATTTTCATCCTCCGGCCCATCGACCTTAGCCTCAGTTGCAGCGGACAGGCCCTGTTCCAAACCCGGAGGCGGGCTAGGCCGATTGTGGAAATCAAACAACGGCAGAAGATAATGGCCTACCGAGTTCACGGAAAGCTTGATCCGACCAATCCCCGGTATCTCTAGAAGATCCGCCTCACAATCAAGTTTAGCCCGCATCTGCCGGAGCGCCTGGATGGACAACAGAAATGGGGCTTTACCCGGAATCACGGAAGCCTGAACGAAACCGTCACGGCCACCTATCCTCACAGGATACTTTACCTGATACGTGGCCCGTGCTTCCCCATTGATGCCCTCAAACTTCACATCCGATGGACCACGCTCGGCCTTTAAACTTCCTCCAGACTGTTTCTGCAACTCCTCATTCCAGCGTTTCTCACTCTCAGAGCCTACCAACGTAGAGGTGCAACCCGTATCTACGATAGCATGGCCTGGAGGAACTGCCAAACAAACATGTTCTACACATGGCGCTTCGGTTTCCAAACCTGGCGGCCTGATCGGCGCCTCGGCTTCTAAACCTAGCCGCCTATCCCACATGAGGCAACGCTCCACCTCCAATTCTGAAATGCCGTGTGAGGGACGTGGGAATGCCATAAAGCTGAACTCGGGCTTGAACTCCGCCGGCAAAGCACTGCTGGGAGGAATATCCGATGAGGAAGGAGCTTGAGCCGCCCAACCCAGGTACTGTGCACCATTGGGATCTCCTCTGCGGCCTTCGTAACTCCTCTTTCCTGCTCCCTTGGGCTTTCGTCCTTGCCCCTTTGGTTTCTTCCCAGTGTTGGCCTTGCCTCTCGAATGACTCTGTGACCTAGAAGCCGAAGAGGAAGCATGACCGGATCGCCACTGGAAATCACCGCGGCCCGAGCGACCCTCACGCCAGGGACGACCTCGTGTGTCCCGTCCCTTGCCTTTCTTACCCGAGCCGCCCTTGCCGACCGAAGCCTCCGCGGGGTCCTTGAATCCACGAGCTTTCCTGAGGCTCATCAGCTTCTTACGGGCCTCCAAGTAGCCAATCATAGCCGTATTGTAATCTTCATCCCCGTCGTCGTCGATATGCTCGTCGTCATCAGCGAAATCTTCTTCCTCGTCCTCGGCATAGCCTCCGAACTCATCATCCTCGTCGAAGTCTTCATCGTAGTCCTCGTCCTGCTCGTCGCCAAACTCCTCTTCATCATAGTCGGCGAAATAGCCATGGTTCGAAACCTTGGTTCCGCGGGAAGCGACGAGGGCATCCAACTCCGTCCGACGAAGTAGCTCAGAGACCTTTTCGTAACGAAGTGAACCGCCTGCTGATCGAAGTAAGCTTGCTCTTGTTTGAAGGGTGATGCCCACATGGCGCAGATACAGGAAACCCTTCATCACCTCCGGCATCCGAAACGGAACCACGGGAGCCTGTTCAGAAGGAGGGGTCGGAGGAACTGGAGCTGGAGGGGGATCTTGTCCATCACCGAGTCCCGCCAATGCCGCTTGATGTGCTTGTTGCGCCACAATGAAATCTAAACTCTGGCGTCTGTACTCGGCTCGGATCATATCTTGATGACGCCTTCTCTCCAGCTTCAACTCCTCAGTCATAAGTTCCTCTGCCTTAGCCACGGTGGTTTCGAAACGGGTTGTGAAGGCTGTGGTCTCCTCACCTTGCTGCCGACGTAACTTGTAGAGCAGAGTTTCAAGCCACTCTGACAGTTCTTGTTCAGGTGTGTACTGATATCGGGCATCAAGGATGTCTAACATGGCCTTCACGCCACCTGTATTTCGGAAATCTCCGGGATCTCTCTCGCGAAAACATTCGAACGCCGAACCAGAAAGAACCGAAATCAGTCGTGGAGCGGCCAAGCTCTGTTTGGAATCCTCGAGGCCGTGATAGTAAAAAAGAGCTCGTCGACGATATTCTCTGTATGTATCGAGACGGCCGTCAAAGGTGGGAATCTTCTTGTCATCGTCCTTGGTCTCCATGGCCTCGAAGCTGTCGTTGACGAAACGGAACTGATACGCTGCGCCCTGGATCAAAAGGCTAGTACAGAAGAGCACCAAGCTCCGCTGCCATGTTGACAGCAGCAGCGTCGTTCCCCCTATCAAGCTCAACAGCCTGATCATGACACTATGTAGGAGTGTCTCCTCAAAGAAAGGTCTACTGGACATCCAGTCACAATGAACATAAAGCATGTCTGCAATTGCGTAAGACTAGGCTTCTTTTCCGTGCCTCGAACTGGCTTCATGCATGCTTGAGCCACCGATGGTGGCGATGATGAACATGTGCCCCTGAGGCTCCACAGCACACAACAGGAACAGCATGATCTGTTCTTCAATTCACACCAGCCCTCCAGCTTCCAGCCTTCCAGCCAGTTTTCAACCTTCCCAGCCCGGCCCCATCCCCTCCAGTTTTCCAGACCCAGCCCTCCAGCCTTCCACCACCCCCAAGCCCCAACCCTCCACCCCCCCTCCACCCTTCCAACCTTCCAGTTTTCAGGCCTTCCAACCTTTGAAGGCTGGAGGGCTGGAGCGCTCCAGCCCGCCCTCCCGCCTTGCAGCCTTCCTACCTTTCCTCCAGCCTTCCTCCTCCAGCCCTCAAGTCAGCCCCAGCCCAGCCCTCCAGCCTTCCACTTTCCTCCAACCTTCCGACTTTCCTCCAGCCTTCCAACCTTCCAGCCTTCCAGGCGCGAGACAAAAGGCTGGAAGGCTGGAAGGCTGGAGGGCTGAAGGCTGGAAGGCTGGGAAGGCTGGAAGATTGGAAGGCTGGAAGGCTGCAGAGCTGGAAGGCTGGAGGGTTCTGGACCCTTCCAGCCTTCAACCCTCCAGCATTCCAGCCTTCACCTTTTTAAGACTGAAGGCAGATCACGTCATACTGGAATTTAAATATACGGATTTAAACAAATATTTTATACTACCTCTGCGGCCAGTGCGGCTGGCCGGGGGCCCCCATATATTTAAAAAACGTCACCGTAGTCTTTCCAGACCGATTTCAGGGGAATGTGATAGTCACTGGAATGTACACGGGTTGTATTTGGCGTTCAGAAGGACGAATTTTGGCACACTGCGGAGGACAATCGAAAAGATCTGTACGTTCTTACAGCCAACCTCAGGAAGTTATATCACATCACGATTTGTAACGAATTTGCAGACGGTCTTGACGGGGCTCTCCAGAAAATTCACAAGGAAAAACCCTTATAGCGCCAGCAGTGGGAAAGCCATCGGAGCAGGAACGTCTCGAACACGAAACGGCTCTTACTGGAAAGCTTGAGAGCGATGCTTGGGCGTGTCGTAACTGACCATACAACCGCATGGACTGGATGCTCTTACCCGGCACGAACACCTCCGACATCGCAGGCATTTCGAATCCCAGCTGTCATGCTTGCGCCATGAAAACGGCCTCAACGCAAATCCGAGGACAGATGTGGGTGCGCAAAGTCCAAGACATGCGGTTGAAGTTGGGCATATGGCAACTTGTATTTCTCGTCGAAGCGCTCGTGGAAACTTGCCAGACGATGAACAGGAAGACCCATGACTGTGGCAAACGAAAGTTGTGCGAATCAGGGCTACTCAGCTCCACGAAGCAGATCCTACCGCATTGACGAATCAGATCAGGCAGCCAGGCGGCTCAGGAAGGCTTGTGGTTTGGGGTTGAGGGTTTTGCCGTGGAATAGCGCAGAGGCGAACGTGTCTTGCGGCAGTGCAGTTTCGAGTGCATCGTAGTACGACGATTGGCCGCTGAAGCCTGATTGTGGAGGGTTATTTTTCCTACTTTCTCCTACCCCACGCCGTCTGAGGCTGCTAAACCATCCCTATTCCTTTTTGTTGAGAGATTTTCAGGGTGTGAGCTTGGGGTTTAGGGTGGGGGAGCGTGTTCCGGAATGTGTTCCGCTACCGGGTCCTGAGGGCGACGGTCCCCACGACTGTGGAAGGCAGGCTGGAGTACCTTTCGCGATCGATTGCGGGGCTATAGCACGGCATTCCTTGAGTTTAGGTTTAACGTGTTGGTTTCAGGTCGGGCTGAAGGAGCTGAAGGAGACATAGCCCAGCACAGAACGTCGGGGTAGGGTTTAGGGTTCAAGACATGGGTGCAGCTGCGACACTGCGTGCTGCCACCACAGGCGATAAAATGGTTTAGGAGTTTAGGGCTGTTCAGGGCCCAGGGTGCCACGTTTAGGGTTTTGAAGCTCAGGCGTTCCAGGGCTTGTACACGGCTTCGGGAAAAAGGCCGCATGATGACATCCATACACGCATACGCATATCAGGATGACCATCCGAAAGGTAAACCAAGACGATACTTGTCTTCTCCGCTGCGATCCGTTCTCCAATAATGGCCGATGCACCTGAGGCTGTAACCCTAACTGTGAAAGCTGGTACGCTCGTACAGAAGCTCAAGCCCTTTGACTTGAGCCCCGCGCGCGCGCTCCGGTGCGAAAGCCCGAAATGGAGCAAATGGAGCGTGGGAGTAGCAAAGAAGAAACAGGGTGAGACTCAGAGGGCCCAGGACCGGGAGGAAGCCAAATGGAAGAAAAGGAAGGAAAGGGCCTCGTCCATCTGCGTTTTCATCTTCTCCAAAGCCTCCTCCAGCTCTTTCACCTAAGGAAGGGAAAACACGTCCTTTCCTGTTCCTTCTGTCTCTCCCTTCAAGGTTCCCGGGCCCGCAGTTGCAGGCTCTTCCTGACGGGCACCGCTTCAGCTTGGAGCTTTCCGCAAGGCTGAGCACAGAGCTTCTCCGACTGCAGCTGCAGCTGGACGGCTTCCAGCCTGACGGCCGAGCGGCCGAGCGGTTTAACGCCGCTGCTCTGCTCGGCCCCCGGGTCCGCTCTGTCCGCTCCGCTCGCTCTGCTCTGGCTCCCCTCTCTGGCTCCCCCGCTCTTCGTTCCGCTTCCGCAAACTGGTCGCTTGCTCCTCTTTTGCCGCAGCTGCACGCGGCCGCACGTCACTGCACATCACTGCAGAGCTCCGCTCAGGTCCCTGCCTGGGCTTTTTGGCTTTTGGCCATGAGCCTCAGATGAAAACTCGCCTTGGAAAGCCTATAGAGCTCGGCCCGAGACCGGTCTCGGACGTCCGAGACCGTCCGAGACCGTCCGAGCTCCGAGCGCGCCGACCTGGCACGGAAAGAGAAAGAACAGAGAAACAGCTGGGCGCTGCTCCGCGGCTGCTCCGCGGCGGCTCCGCGGCTGCGCGAACGCTCCCGAGCCGCTCGTCAGTGTCGTGCTCGTCGTTAGGCTAAGCGTTCAACGCCGGTGGTCATCGTGCGCTGCGCATGCGGCGCTGGCGACCTCTCCAGGCGAAGTATGACCAACCCTCGGCCCTTCTCGCCATTCGAGCCCAGCCAACGTGCATTGCTCTCGACTCGTCTGAGATCAGGAGAAAGGATCTCGGCCGGGCATCCGCGTCCCTCCGAGCGTAACTTTTCGGGTGAACTGGAGCGATTCTAGCAGAGATCCTGCCCATCGCGGCAGAAGCTCTGGATGAAGGGGCTTCTTAAGGAATCGAAAGAGAAAGAGCTGCAGAGCTCTAAACCCTTTGCGGCGCCTCCTTGGCCTCCTGCTTCAACTTCTTCATCTGACTCTTCGCCGCGTGCATCCTCAAGCGCTCCTCAGCAAAGGCACGAGCGCAGCTGCTTGCAAAGAGCGCGGAGGCGCCCTTGCCCCGGCGCGGGCCTGCGCCACATAGACTGCTTGCCGGAAGAGCTTGTAGACCCGCTGCCTCACGATTCCAGCGAACGCAGGCTTTGGCTGAGACTTGCTGGACTGAGCGGGATGGCGTCTTCCAACGCTTCCAGTTCCGCTGGATGCGCGTCGCCGAAGACACCTTCCGGTACTCCTCGGCTTCCACTTTAAACCCATCGTCCCCTCACCTGAAACGCCGGTTGGAGGCTCCTTGGCATAGCGCCGTCCGCAAATGCCTCAAGCAAAGAGGGCAAGACGAAGAATCTTCTAGCGGGGCTTGCCGCGGCGCTCTCTCTTCGCAATCCAGGCCCTTTCAAAAACATCGCAACCCAGGCCTTTCTGCCAGGCCTGGATCTTTACAACCTCCAGAGGGCTGCGCAGCACACAGCACAGCCCAGGAGGTTCCCCCCCTTTTTGCCTTCTTCATCAAAGCTTTGTATCTTCTGCGTTCCTCGGCTTGCGGCGGCTTGCGGCGCTTGCGGCTGCAATGGACATAGTCCAAGAAGTCCAAGATTCCACGAATTGGCGCCCGAGGCTTTGAAGCTTCACGGCCGCGCCCTCTTGCCTTTCACAAGTGCTCATGAGTCTTCTACTAATGCATGAATCCTGTATTGAGTTAATGCATCGGTCTTTCTTTCTCAGAGGCCTTCATCGTGCACGAGTGTGCACCCCATGTTGGAGTGTACCCGAGCTGACAAAGGACATGGTGCAGCCCTAGTGGCTCAGCACGAGAAAACCACTTTCCAACAAATGAATAACCTGCGCGTGCGTGTCACCTTCCCCCATGTCCCGAACTATCTGTACTCGGTGTCCCCATAGAACAGAAGCACAAAGCGTAGGCACAGGTGCAGTTCTCGTCCAACAACATCTTGTGGGAACAAGACATTATCACGGTTCGGGCGGACGTCATTAGACCCCCGCACATTCCCACAGAACAAAAGCAAAAAGCACAGGAGCAGCTATCGTCTAAGAACAGTTTGTGGGAACAGGATGCTATCACGGTTCGGGCATGGATGCTCTAGGGACTCTAGGGTGTCGGGGGGTGATGGGCCTTGCAGATCTTGCAAGACAAAGACCTCGTCAGCGAAGCGACCGCCGCTTGAGAGTTCCGCAGGAAGCGAACCCCCCTTGCCGACCTCCTCTCTGTTTTCATCCGAACAAGACTGCTTTGTGCAAAAGCATACAACACAGCAAAAACCGTCACTTTCTGCTGATCGGACAACATCGGAAGGCTCAACTGCTGTAAAATAACGGCATTCGGAGAATCCCGTCCATCTGGACGAAAAGCACAAAACGCAATCGAACAGGCAAAAGCACGATAAAGACCATGAAATGTGGCTCCTTCCCGACTTCCCGAATGACGACAACCGACGCTCCGCGAGCCCCCGGCGGACAGCGCAACACCTTCCACGTCGTCCAGTGGCGTACATGCCAAAAAGGTAACGCTATTGTGGACCCGCACCCTGCCACGTCTCCATGTGTTTTTTGTCAACAAATCTTGCTTGTCAAGTACACGGGTGATTTCGCAAGGGCAACATCGCGCAAGCAATTTTCATATCGGAGATGCTTTTGCTGAGATTATCAATCTGGGAGAAACTTCTTCCCTCGTAAACGCAGGGGTTGCAGTCTTGCATGCTTTGATGCCGTTTTGGTGTCCTTGCTGAGTTCGGCGAACTGTATTCTTTCCCTGGTTTGGGTACCAGGTCATCTGGGCATTCTTCTTTGTCATGCAGGCCAGGACTCCTTGCTCTGATGTATCAAAACCATGGTTTTTCTCAAGTTGAATGTCTTGGTTGAAAATCACAAGTTGCTTGGCAGATCCAAGCTAGGATCTCTGGCTCCTTGTTTTGTTGTATCAAAAGCATGTTCTTCTCAAGTTAAATGTCTGGGTTGAAATTCACAGGTTGCTTGGCAGATGCAAGCTACGATCTCTGGCTCCTTGTTTTGTTGTATCAAAAGCGTGTTTTTCTCAGGTTAAACGCCTGGCAATGCGAAGGCAGGAAGTTTTCGGAGATGCCACTGCCGAGATCATCACTGGCGGTTTCTCTTGCAAAACAGCACTCTGCAGTCTTGCATGCTTTGATGCTGGAATGGCGCTTGCAGGGCTTATTATGGCATCAGGTTGCTTTGATCACATGTGTTTCAGTTTCTGAGGAAGGGCAAGAAGCGGACAAGTAGCAGCATCGGTATGCGCTACAGCAGTTAGACGACCATCACAGTGATAAGTGTGACGATGATGAAAATCATCATGGTGGTGATGAAGATTATGGTGAGGAATACGGCGATTGCAGAGGTATGAGTGATGAAAACGAGCATCAAGATGATGATGATGATGATGATTATCATCATGGTGATTCTGAGGGTAAGCATGATTCACATGATGAAGGTCAAGAAATATGGTGATGATTATGGTGTATTGCCTGGCGATTAGGATGATGAGAAAGACGATGATGAGGAACACAGTGTTTGCATAGGTGAGATTAGAGGAGCATCATGGTGATGACCGTGGTGATGAGGATGGTGAGCATCATGAAATAGAAATGATTATACCTCATGGTGATGATTGTTGCGCGACCCGGCAGAGCATGCCTTGCTATTAGGATCCCTTTTTGGGTCCGTATAATAATGCGGCACCTCATATTTAGGGTTCCCAAAAAAGGACCCTAATTTTGACAACTACCCAATTGGAGGTAGCGAAGTGACGCCGTTTCTTCCGCCCTGTTGATGCCCCCCGTCACCCTTCAGTCTCCTTCGCACGTCAGGATGATGCAATCCGCTCGTAGGTCCCGCATACCCCGACCTGCAAGCCCCTCCTCGAGCTCTGCCCCCTCATGGCAAACCCCCCAAGTCAAGGAGGTCTTTGCCCGCTACAGACCTTCCAGTCGTTCCGCGTCTTTTTGCAAGGGCGACTTAGACTCAAAGCTTCCTGCTCCAGCAGTCCAGCACGGCTACAGCGAGAAACCCAAGGACCAGATTGCTCGCTCTCTCGCTCTGTCTGCCCCTCTGCGTCTGTGTTTCATCGAATTCTCGCGCTCAGGGTTTGGGTCTGCTTGGGCTTATGTCTTCCATTGGGCCTGTGTGGAAGCGGCGGGTCGGGGGGTCTCGCTTTCACCACGGTAGGGAGCCGCGTCTCTGGATGCGTCGCCAATGACTGAGCCGGCAGCTTCCGGCGCATCAGGTCGCTTCGCGCTTGCTTGCTTCCTGGGCTGCGGCAAGGCTGCAACTGGCATGGACTATGGCAACCGCCCTTCTTTTCTCCGCAACACACTCCATCTCCAGCAAGTTGCGCAACAAAGCCTGAATGTGGCGTGTGAAGAGACAGATTGCCTTGGCAAGCGAGTGCGCAACAGGTGGTACGCGGTGCCAACGCGCCCTTGCTGTGGCGAACCTTGTACTTGCCCATCTGAACACGGCGACGCCAAGCAGCCTGCACTTCAGAGGAACTCTTCCGTTCTCCCGTCGTTTCAGCACTCGGCATGCACGGCCTGGATCTGTGTCGCAGATTTGACGAGTAGCTCGAGGCGCGCGAACCTTGGCTTGGCTTCCGCGCCCGGCACTGTCCCGGATAAGGACGGACGTTTTCACGGAGCTTGCGATATCCGAGTTTCTGGCTTCAGCCGTTCGAACGCTGGGAGCTTGAAGAACACTAGTGTTTTTCCCACTGCCATGGGCAGGCCATGCAGGGGTTTCGGCACGTTGAGCTCTGAGGCCAAGTGCTCTAGCAGCTTCTGCGCCCTGACCTCCCACAGCATCGGATCACACTGGCTGCCATGTCTGCAGCAAATACGCCTGTGCAAATCAAACTGACTTCACTTCTCTTACCTTTATTCGTCCGGGCAGGGGATTGCCGACGTCGCCAACCAAGAAACTACCTTCAAGGGTCGCCACGCTTCGCAGCCGCCCGTGGCCGCCCCCTTTCTCGCCAGGTTCCACTGAGCTCAGCGTACTCTTTGTTTCTTGTACCTTTGTACTCGTGCGGAGCGCGCCAATTATCACGACACATAATATATCATAACGGATCATGCAAAGAGCTGGAAATGCAGATGGCCTATATCACAAAGGTTTGCGGTTCATGATTCATGGTAGCAAAAATCCTCGACAGCCCGAGGTCCATGTGCTCCACCCCTTTCGCGACAGCGAAACAAAGAGGGCTTTTGAGTTTCCTCGTGTTTTCCTGGTGTTCCCCTGGCGTTCCCTGCGGGCCCGCGGCCTTGGAGTCGTCCACGTGCTTCAGCCCTGCAAGCGGAACAAAGATGGCAAGAGAAAGATGCTAAGATATGCTAAGTCACTGCAAAATCTGCGAAGGTTTAAGGGATAGGAAGCTTCCGTCGCCTGAAACAATCTGTGGAGAGGCGATGACCTTAAAGTCGTCCCAGCCTTAGGCAAAAAACGTGGACTCGGGCCAAGGGCGGAGCTGGAAGATCTGGGGATCTGTACACTCTTGGTGGTTGATCCGCACCGGATAGCCAGCTCGGCTGACTTGCACCACCTGAACCCAAAAACTCAAGCCTTTAGCATTCTCTTGGTTCAGATGGACACCGCCTGGAGCACACCCCCGTATCTCAACTGCTCGGTGACGGCCTTTCGATCATAGCGGTCCGGCCTCGCATAGCACTGGCGCAGAAACCGGCCGTTGACGGCATCCGTCAAGGATAGCTTAGGCCCCGGCTCGTTCTGTGGATTGGGTTTGATGCAGCCTTGCGTGAGAAGGACGCAAGACGGGATGAGGTGAGGTATTGCATGTTGCTCATGCGATTAAGGCTGGTGCCCAGCGACGAGGCTGGGCCCCTGGCGCACGAAGTGGGGCTCCGTCAGATCAACGATGTCCATAAGCGAGGCCAGTTGATCCTCCGCACATGCGAGCGTCGTGCTGCCATACCATGCTTGCAAGAACGGGCCTTGAATTCCGATGAAACCTTCAACCATCAAACAAACAACTCAAGAGCATGGCATCCTGCACATCTCGCGCCCAGCGCAAGACTTAAGCAGCAGACCGTGTACTTCTTCTTTTTCTTTCCGGCACCGGTCTCCGAAGACTCCTCCTTCGAGAACGATGCTTTGTACATCTGATGGCACGCAGCAACGGCTCACGGCTAGCACAGGTCTGCCTTGTTCAGAACTTCGCCATATTTTACGTCCTTCGAAAATTCAAAAGCTCATCACACTCATGGGCGAAGCGTTGATGTGTCTGGCTGAGGAAACACCACGATTCAGCCGAACCCGGAGCACGTGTTTGACATGCGAAACGCGTGGACGACGACGGCGCGGGCCTGCGTTGAGGTGGCCGCAGCGACGGCAGCTGCAACGAAACTTGCAACGAAAACGGCGACAGCGACGACGATGCACGTGCAGCATCTTGCAGCGAATCTTGATCGTATGTACCCGGCGGCTGTAGATCTTCGCTGTCGTTTTTGTTCCCGGTTTGTGCATCGTAGCCACCAGCTATGGACACAACAATCCACCTGCATTTTCTTGGTTACATTATACAATGCGTGCCCCTTGCAAGCTGAAGTATGCGAAAGGGTAGCCGTTCGGTGCAAAGAGTTCTTGGCTTCGCCAAGAAAATCCCGAGAGGAACGACTTGCGAAATGCTTTCCAATTCATCAGTGTACATAGATATGCGGTGTCATCAACATAGAGCAGTGGCCAAATGCTCGATATCACAAGCAAGCAGTTTAATTCGCAAACGAGTCAACGTCTTGACTCGGCTCACAGATGCAACGCTGGCGTCTTTATTGGTTCCAACCCATGTGCGCAGATCATACTGCACGTTGGGCCCACTATCTGTCCTCAAACACGAAAACAAGACTGCGGTCTGCGGAGCCGTTGGCGAAAGCCCACGGAGCCCAAGACCTATCCACGTCAAGCCCATGGAACCGGCTGCCCTTCGCTGCTGAAAGAAGCCTCCTGTCCCAGCTCTATCCGAATCCAGTGCAACAGCTCAATGAAGGTAGCCCGACGGACTTACTTCAGAGCAGAGCTTGTCGGCTAGCCATCCCGTGTGCACACGAAGCATCGTCGGGTGCAGGATAGCCCCCGACCATGCGTGGAATGGTCCCAGAAATGGCCCTTCCGAGTCACAAGCAACAGCGGCGAAGCCAAGGCGGCCAAGCCTTTGCTGCAAATGCTTAGCCTGTACTAATCCATGCTACCCATTCTACCTGTGCCGCGTCTTGGCCTTGAACGGATATCCCTGGCGCTGGAATCGCCGGCATGCCTTGGAGAGACCCCCCTACCGAGAACGCATTCTCCTAGTGTTAGGGATCTGCTTCTCCCTCGCCCCAGGAGCCCGGATCTAATCCAGGATCGATATCCTGCTTTAGCTATTCATCCCTCGGCCGTGCTCACCACATGGAAGTCCTTTAGCCCCAGTTCGGAAAGCCAGCTGAGCTATCCATTCGCAAGCCCACGAGTTTTGGGCAGTGGCCGGTATAGTAGCTCTGTTCGACGAGTTGAATAAGGCCTGTGACTATAACCTCCCCAGTCCTCTGATTGTTCAACTGCCACATCCCATGCTGCGAAGTCAGCAAAGACGTTGCCGGTGCCGTGAGATCGCGGCTGCTCGAAGCTAATTATGGTGGTTGCTCCAGCGACCCCAAAACAAGGTTCTGGAATTGGAGGCCAAAAACAACGATATGATGAGATGCACATGCCCCAATACTCTCTATTTCCATGTTTTTTAGACATATCAGTATAAGCAGAAGCGGGCCGGTGAATATGACGACATCACGTACTTGACTCACTGCATTTGCATCTCTTGTTTGGCCAGAATGCACTCAAGCCATGTGTTAGGTACAAGGAGCTGCCCGCATAGCATATGGCATATGGCAGCAGCGACCGTGCATCCGCAGTCAGCTAAGGATGCAGTCCGCAAAAGTCTTAGGAGCTCAAACTCAAACTCTGCCCCCCTTTGTCGGGTGGCGGAAGGGAAGAGTGGAGGTGAAGCTGAAAGGATCTCGAGAAGCGACGGCCATATTTTGGCACATGCTTTCGTCAATCTTCTACAAAGTAGCGGCACTGACTCACTGCATTTGCATCTCTTTTTTGGCCACAATGCACTCAAGCCATGTGTTAGGTACAAGGAGCTGCCCGCATAGCATATGGCATATGGCAGCAGCGACCGTGCATCCGCAGTCAGCTAAGGATGCAGTCCGCAAAAGTCTTAGGAGCTCAAACTCTGCCCCCCTTTGTCGGGTGGCGGAAGGGAAGAGTGGAGGTGAAGCTGAAAGGATCTCGAGAAGCTACGGCCATATTTTGGCACATGCTTTCGTCAATCTTCTACAAAGTAGCGGCACTGACTCACTGCATTTGCATCTCTTTTTTGGCCACAATGCACTCAAGCCATGCTTGTTAGGTACAAGGAGCTGCCCGCATAGCATATGGCAGCAGCGACCGTGCATCCGCAGTCAGCTAAGGATGCAGTCCGCAAAGGTTTTAGGAGCTCAAACTCTGCCCCCCTGTCGTCGATGCTGGAAAGCCCGAGCGCCCTGCCTCGGGGGCGCCACTCAGATACCGGCAAACGCTTAAAACGCCACCATTCATTCCATCTCCCAAGGGCCCTAACCGCCTGAAAACCCGAGTGGACCAGGGCCGTCGCATCTTGCCACACAGTAAAGGAGCAACGGGGCGACAAAGTACACATAGGAACACTGCATGGCCTAACAACCGTTGAATGGCGTCAGAGCTAAAATGCTTGTTGGTACGGCCGACGTATTCAAACGCAAGGATCAACTTCCACATGCGCTCCGCGGCAACTGTACCAAACCCAACTCTCCGTCCACAACACCTCCCAATGTTCGCATGTGTGCTGTCGCAGGCTGCTCTTCATGTATGGAGAAACCCATGGCGCGGAGGTCACGACAAACTTGCTCCTGGCCTCTCTCCACTGCTCTGCTGTCCTTCCCAAGCACATGGAAGTTATCACAATAGGGCATAGCTGCCAACTGAGTGCTGTGTAGTTGGGGTACTGGTCTGGCATCAAGGAAGAGATGGTCCCGAGAGATACTCAACGACTGCATCGTGCACTGCTCATGTAAGCTCCAAGTGAAGCCCATCGGCAGCACCGTCAAGCAAGGACAAAAGGCTCTTCCGTGCCTCGGGTCCCCGAAATCCTGCGGCGCCAGTCCACCGGTGACGTCGAGGACCTCAGAGGCGCTCAAGTCAAGTCTCAGCCAAAGGAAAAGAACTCCTGCATGGCCGACGGCAGGAGGCACGCGCAAAAGCAATCTTGTATGTCAGCGCCTCCTAAGTATAAAGATTCACCTTCATGTAACTTGACGACAATCCAGAATCAACCCCTGCCTTCTCACCTCCTTGCCCTCAATGATCTTCGATTTCTTGCTCACCACGAAGGCGCCGACGCGACCCCTCCGCCGACGGCAGAATCCCAGGACACCACAATCGAAGAGCCGCCTAAGAAACCACGATAAAAGACACGCTTACCTAAATGGGGGTCGTTGTATGGCTTCATCCTCGCGGCCTCCTCGCTTACGGCACTCCAGTTCGGAGCATCCTGCAGCATTTCTTCCTCGAAATCCCTCAAAGCTTGTCCAGCCTCACCTTCGAGGCATCGCTCCAGATCAACCCCCTGGTCTTTAAGACAAGGAAGAGAAAGAGTATCACGCCGCTTGAGTCTCCTGCAAACGCTACGGGACCATTCCTTCTTGGTCACGGCCCCTGTGCTCGGAAGAAGAGGGAGTGCGTTGCCCATCGTCTCCCGCAGGCCGCGAAAAACCCGGGCTCGCCCCCATAGTCGGTGGCATGTAAACGGCCGGGACTCCCCCAGCACACATGCCCTGGGCAACTTCAGCAACTTGGCATCTGCCCCAGTATCCTTTCCGGTTTTGCCGGGGCCACGTCCTCTTCCGCCCTTGCCACCCTTCTCTTCGCGCAGCTTTCTCTCCGCTCTTTTGGAATCTGCCCTTCCCACGCGCTTGTGCTTGGTGAGGGTCTGTGTGACGATAGCCCCTCCTGGCCGATGCCCGACTTGTAGGAAATGGTCAGCGGCCTCGTACGTATGCATGCGCCTCAGCTATCAATTGACGTCATTGCTGACAGCCTTGACGTACTCCAAGCAGGTGCGGGGATTGAAGGGGAAGTCGTCAAAACCCACCACCGACTTCGTTCCCAATTCACCCCGTACTTGATGGAAAGGGTACTGGCATCGTCACCGGCAATCTTTTCTTCGCCGGCACACGCTTCACTGTTACGGCACCACTGGATGTGCTGATCACAGAAAGCGTCCAGATCTTCAATGCCCACGAACTTTACGAGCACCGTTCGGTCTATACCATCAGCGTCAGTCATGTGATGCAGACCGCAATCTCCATCGATGACTGCCCCTTGCGCCAGAAGGATTTCATCCCCGATCTTACATACTCTGCAAGGACCGATCGTCTCTGATCGCCAAGCCACTCCTGCAACAGCCTGCTGAGCGCCATCAACAGCCCCCGCAGCGGCAGCCGCGCCTCCTACGGCGCCCGCCGCAGCTCCGTTCGGCGATCGTCTCATGACGACCGAGCTCGAGGAGTTGGCGGTATTCTCTTGCAATGGTGGCTCCGAAGCTGTAAACATTGGCCGCTGGTATCCCGCGGGGCAGTCCACCTCTCGCCCCACCTGGCCAAAACCTTCAATGTCTGGACTATTTGCATCCAGGATCTCAGGATAAATATTCCATGCCTTCGATGTGGCCAGCAACTAGTCTCTCATGCACTACTTGGGGTACTTCACCATAATCCAAGTAGGGGAGGTCGCCCGCGATGAATCTAGCCATCTCGGATCTGCAGCCCTACCTTCGTGCCAAGCGTTCCCTTGCCGTACTTGCCTTTGTGCCTGCGTATAGCTCCTGGCTGGCAGTGGAGCTAAAGTAGAGCCAGGAGCCTCCTCCAAACACGGCCCCCAACAGCAAGCAGACCAAACAAGTGACTCCGATTAAGAAGAGGCCCGATGGAGCAGCACTCTGAGAATCGCTGGTAGAGCAGTTACAGTGGCAGTTGCAAAGGTCGTTCCTGGGCTGCCGGCTGCGACCAATATCCCACAACAAGTCCCAGTCCCGCGACGATCAAACGGCTCGCTTCCATCCTACACTGAAGCTGAAAGGATCTCGAGAAGCGACGGCCATGTTTTGGCACATGCTTTCGTCAATCTTCTACAAAGTAGTGGCACTGAATTACTTGAAGCTCAGATGAAGGTCATAGCCCAAACCCTCGACAAAACTGGCACCGCATGTCTCTTTCGACTGCGAATGTGCGAGTTTCTGAAATAGAATCGATGCACTATCCGCGTTATCAAAACCAGAGAACGTCCCGAATTTAACCATAGTCATAATCTTATGACCAGTGCCAATTGCGACACTTAACGGAAAATTCGAAGCGACACGGTAGTGTGTTCAGTTTACAACCTCCTACATCCAATATTGCCCTCAAAGCCCTGAAGAGCACCGGTGAACATTCTCTTGCAGCGCCCACCGAAGTCGTGTCAAGACTATGCCTTTTCGATTGTGCAAACACGAAACCGAATGAAGGTGCTCACAAGCCTGACGAGGAAACCTGAAATCTACATACGCTCTCACCCCAAATACCAAGCACCGAGCCCTGGCGAACATTCTTTTCTTCGGCACCCCCACTGCTCGTGTCAAAACTGTGTCAAAAAGCTTCTGCGCAACACAAAACTGTTTTCTCTGCCCCTGAGCTAGTCAACCCGCCGGTTCCCGACCTGCTGGTCACAACACCCAATCATGTCTGTGATGCCCCGTTTGGTCACGTACGGAATTTATCACCTTCCCCAAACCAATGTTCAGCCTCCGTCTGTGGCGTTATTTCAAGCTTTTATCCTCTCATTTCCTTTGTTCAGCGCAAAAATTCAAGCTGACATCGACATCCCGTAGAGATTCAAGTTGATGTTGGTTGACCCGCCGCATCTTTTTGCGTTCACTCTTCAATGAATCAATCTCCTGCTTGAAACAGAAGATTTCCAAGTCCTTATCAACCGATTTGATCGCCTGAGCGGCCCCTCAGTCGATATTAGCAGGACTTTGTCGTCCGGTCACATCGATCACGCCCGAGAAGCAGCTCCAAAGATCGGTGCCTCCGAAGTCTGAAGGCTTCGCACTGACTTAAGCCTTCGCCCGTACCTGCCCTAATGCCTGTGAGATCGACCTCCTAATCGTCCTAACTTTGATGTAATTGTTGCACCCCATTACGTTTTGGCCTCTGTTGGCCTCTGCTTGGTAACAACACGTCACGGTTTTGAGCCACACTGAACACCCAAGGAATTCTCAATGGCACCCCTCAACAACTTGTCCGAGCTGCGAGCACACACATGCACACATATGCTCATGTCTCGTCAAGTGCGCTCTGCGCCGTCTTGTCACGGCGACGTGACAGCAGCAGGCAAGCAGCATGGAGGAAAGCAGCCGCGCACATAGTCTTCCAAATTTACACTTTAGCAATCCGGCTGTGATCAGGCAGGTACAAAACAGGAGTTTTGAGCTAGGGTATAAGGTGGCTTTACGTTTCAGGACGACGGCTGGGGCTTGCTAGCACCGAGCACCGGCAACAACTGACGGGTGCCGGCGATGGGGGCCGTCTAGTGTTTCTTCGTCGGCCAGACTTCGTTCCGCATGCAGCTGTTCTAAGTATGCTTTCATCGGCGACTCCAAAATCTCCTCGACAATTAGTTGCCGCACGGCTTTCGTTTTCTCCAGCACCTTTGGCAGATCTGCCAATGATGCGGCATTCAGATGCTTTGATGGCACCCCCAGGAACAACCAACAGCACTGGGCAGTTCAAGGCTGCCTTTGTGCAAGTCCCTGCAGAGGGTCACCACCCTCCACCTCGGGCCAGGACTTTGAGAAATGTCCTTCAGGTTCTTTGCGACGACTTTCGTGCTAATCACAGCGCAGCAAGCACTGGATAAAGTTGCTTTCATCTTCTCAAGCACCCGGCCTTTTTGGTAGTTGGTAGTCACTGGTAGTATTCAAACCCAGACACGATTTCGTCCCAGGACTTTGCTCGGCGCTGATCAAACATGCACGGGGTCTTGGACTCCAGCAGCTGCTTGGCGCTCGAGCTGTACTCCACAGTGCCAAACCAACGCAACTCCTTGGCGGATTTCTCGGCCCAGGCTTCCAAAGGCAAGCCTGCCGCCAGCTTGCCCATTGCCTTTCCAACAGCCGTTTTGGCTGCTGCCTTCTCCGGCTCGTTGATGGACTTCATTGTCTTTGCGCACCAACTTCGCGCATCTTGCAACTTGTTTTTCACATCTTTTGTTGAGCGGTTGGCGGTGTCAAACCCCTTGAGGCACAAAGCGAGTTTGGCCCGGAGTTCTGCCATATCATCCGCTGTGGCGCTGCCCTCCTTTTCTTTCTTCTCCCAATCTGAATCACAGTGCTGGATCTGATCATTCAGTTCCAGAAGAGCCTTGTCGACGGCATCCAGCCGCGCTTTCATCCTGGTCAATTTTGTGCACTACCCAGAGAGTGCAGTCAGTGCCACTTGCATCCGCAGCGAAACATCTCCCATTGTTTGTACCGACAGCGTCCGGCCCTTGCAACGCCAATTTCTCAAGTGGCAAGTTCTTCTCGGCGGTCTCGGCCTTCAGCATTTTGTCCTCCAGCTCTTGCCTTCGGACTCCTCTATGGCCATCGCCCGCAACTGCAATTCTGCATCACGGGCCTCCAAATCACCGACTGAGGCTTCTCGCGGCCATTTTCTGAGTTCAAGTGAGTTCGCGGTCATCCCCACCTGCAGACTCGATTGGGCCCTTTTGATGCGGAACTCGGGTTCCCGCACAAATCCTTCTGCATGGAGATTTCCATTCTCTGCCTCAGGGCAGCTTTGAGCTGGTGAGCCTGATGAGCTGCCGTTTCTCCTTGGTCCAAGGCGAACGATTGAGACGGTCGAGGGGTCTGCCACGTGTTTGTCCCACCCCACACGGGCTTCTGCCAATGTGGAATAGGCCTTCAAAGCCATCTCCTGCGGGGCCCACTTTTTCAATGGGACGAAGTTGGCCACTTCGTTCCTCAGGGATGACACGTCTCGGCTTTGCTCTGCGCTTCCAACCGCCGAACAGGTTCTGTTTTCTGCTGGTCTTCGGCGGCTCTGCTGACCTCCTGTTCAAGATGGAGATAGTTGATCTTCCGGTGTTTTCTTCTTCAAGTCCTCCTTGAATTTCGTGCCCTCTGTTCTTTGTCATCTGCTCTTCTCGGAAATTCGGCTTTGTTCTGATCCGGTTGAGCCAGCGATCGGTTGCTAAGCGACCGTTGCAAGCTCTTCTCCCGGTCGCAGTAAAGGTCGCCATTGCTGTGGGCTGGACACTTCTGGCAGGAGCATTTACAAAGGAACCCGGAGAGGCCATAGGGTCTACCAGAAATCAGCCGCCGCAGCATGTGTCTCAGGCGGCCCAACACGGCTGCGGGGAAAGAACGCAAGTGCTTCCATCCGTGGCTTTTGACAAATGCTCCTGCAGCGGACACCCAAACTTGAATTCATGGGTGGGCCTTCTGGGGTTATCATGCCTTGCCACTAGGCTGCGATATTATAAATAAAACCTTCAAGAAGCAAAACACAGTTTTGCCTACTCCGTCCTCTTTCTCTGTCTGCACCAACAAAGCCTTCTAATTTGCGCAGAATTTGCAGCAACTTGCTTCGTTGCTAACTGTTAATCGCTTTTTGCCTTCTAGGCATCCCTGATGACGCTGGGCACCTGCCTGCTGTGATTTGCAGCCTACCCGTCACTTCTTTCTTGCCGGGTTCGCTCTGGGGCCGGGTCGAGTTCACCACGACCCGCTTTGCCCAAACATTCTTGAGTGTGCAAGCAGCCCAAGTCTTGCACCCAGGCTCCAGCTTCACGGGCAGCCTGGCCATTCACCTAGCTATCTATCTATCACGGGCGGCTAACTCATCTGGCCGAGAGGCCTTCCCGCTACCCTTCGTCTTGTCAGCCGTGCCACAACTGCCACTGGAGCGGTTAGCGGGTACAAACTTTCCTGAGTTTTGTTTTGTCCGAAGCAACCACAGCTTCGGCCCCTTCGTCCTCAGAGGTGGACTGCAGTCATGAACTACACCACCGCCAGCCGAAATCCTTGAGGGGATGCCAAGTTGCACTGCATGTTGCGAGACAATGAATGACTGTGGGTCGATTGGCAGTGCTCTCGAATCCAACAAGGTGTGCAGATGCACCTTGCCACCAAGGTCTTTGGCTGTGAAAACCAGGGCAACTAAGCTTTCGCTCAAGGAAAATCAAGATAACTGTCACAATCTTGAGAAGAATCAGCGGAGGAATCACCTTCAACCGTTGGGAATCCGAACATGGTGGGAAAGTCAGCACCAGAGCTACCTCTGGGAGACACAGTTGTGAACACACTTGACACAACGTGTCGCGGGGTCTCGAATCAACTGTTTTGAATCCAAAAATCCCGTGCACTTCGGTTGTCGCCGACAGTCTCTCCCCCATGCGCTGCCACTTGCACTATGCCTCACATGACAAGAACTAGAACTCACAAGGACGGAAGGTAATCGATATACAGCGAGGATACTGGATGTGTTACTTTGAGATCGTCCTCGGAAGGACGGAAGGCAATCGATATACAGCGAGGTTTACTGTATGCATTAGGTTGAAATCGTCTTCGCCGGTAGGTCGGCGTGATCAGCCCTGGCCTGTCTATTTAGGCCCTAACACCTGAGAACCTGAGAAGGGTGGTAGGGGTCCTGTCTGAAAAGCCTGACGATGAACTCATTGGTGCTCGCCCCCATGCACTCAATGAGGTCCTGAGGCAGAATCGAATACAGTCTGCTAATCGCAAAAAGACCATTTCAGATCCCGTCATTGCTCAGCTGATCTTTGTTCTTGTCCAGGAAACCATCTGAGCCTTCGACGACAGAGTTGCAGACATAGGAGATCGTGCTTCGGGGGTCGGGGGCCCCACAGTAGCTCACAGGGCCGGCAAAGTGCTTGATCACAAACCTCAGAGCAGAAGTACATTCACAGTCCAGCCGCCCCGCCATCGAAGCCGTGGCTCCGCCGAGGTGCCAGGACGGTTTTGTTTTGATCTCGTCAAAGCGCCTGTGACCTCGCCGAAGATCAGCGAAGAGCAGCGAAGGAGGTCTTTGGGGCCGCCGCCTCGATGTTGCTTGATCAGCTTGTTGTTGAAGCCCTGGTCTGAGCCCTGGGGAACCACCTAAGAGAAGGGTTAGGGCTAGGCGGCGCAACGGCGCTGCAGTCCGCCAAACCTCTCCACCAAAACGCTACTCGGCCCTCCGGCGCACTCTTCGTCCAGGATCGCAAAGACACCGGTGCCCTGGGCTGCGTGGAGGAAAAAGTCCCCGGAAATCTGCGCGTGACTTCCCCAACGGTGCTGCGTGCCTTTGCCTGAAGCATGTCCACGGCATCCTGAGAAGCACTGAAAAACAACACCAGCCCAAACACCGTCCCTTCGTCCCCAGTCTTCACTCTGCTCTCTCACTCCTGGTTGTCAGGGAAGTCGAGTGGGTCCCATTCGATGCCCTCTCGTTCGTAGAGCTGCTCCTGCAGAGCCCACACGCAGACTCAGGGTGACTCTCTGAAGGCAGCGTTCTAACAGCTCCTCCAGCTTGAAGACGAAGGAGTTAAAGAACTGCTGCAGCCGCTCGTTGGTGAAGTTAATGCAAAGCCTTTACACGAAAGTGGCAAAACAAACACATTGCATTCATTGTTATGCTCTTCCCGCGTGATATTGGTGGGGTCCAAGCTGTTCGAAGGAGTTCATCTTGAAGCATTCGAAGCCTCGGCGAGTCACGGCTCGGTCGCTCTCAAAGCCTCGCTTTGCCTGAGCCTGAGCGTAAGGCCAAAGATGTCCAGGACGCCTGCGAAGAGCTTCACGTCCTGGAGAAGAACATCGCCGGGGCGAGGCGCAACGAGCGGTGTGTCACTCCCCGCGCGCCTCAACATAGCCGATGGACATGTTGGTGCTCTGCCTCGCAAAGCGAGCGAGAGTCTTCCCACATCGCTCGCCGCTCTCTCGGTGCTCCCGGCACGATGAAGTTGAAGACGATGCCGTAGACCGCCTTCGCCAGCGCGTCTCTGTTGTCCGCGGCTTGGCCTCACAGGCAGGCGGCTCGGCGGCTTTCAGCTCCACTCCGAGAATTCCGGCGCCAGGGGCTCCGGGCGCACGTTCACGGGGCTCCGAATCTTCTCACTGCGAGTGACCCGCGTCTGACTGCAGAGCGCAGACCTCACTTCAGAAGGGACGGAGACACTCTGCACCTCTCACCGAACCTGCGCTCCTCGGCGCAGTTCCAAGGGCGTAGAGACGAACGAACGTGGAATCTTTTCGCTGACTCTCTTGGTGTGGCCAAGCTGGCTGCCACACCAAGGACATCCGTTAGTCTGCTGATGCCGGCAGAATTCAAAAACTATGTGCCTTCAGTGCTGCTACACGTAGCAAGGCGCCCAAGTGCCAACTGCGCTGCACGAAAACCATCAACGCTACTCTCCGCCTGCCCACTCCTTTGACCTGCCCTTGCTCAGCAAAAGAGTTCTCCGTGCAAACAGTGACTCTTGCCGAGGCCCATGCCTCCTTGCTGACTGCGACTCCAGGCAAGCAAACAAACGCGACACGAGCGTGCTTGCTACTTCTCCCCTCCATCCTATCTTTAACCATCCCAGCCTCTCTCCCTCACTGGCAGGAAAGTGTGGCCAGGCCGGGCCCCATACTCCAAAGCTTTCCGATCCACTCCCAGAAGCTTGCTCGCCATTTCCTGGGCTGCGCGATCGCCCTGCGAAGTGTGAGCCGCTAGGCCTGCGGCGGCCAAGGGGTCTTCTGATCTTCTACTCGCCGAGGCGCCACCGAGCTTTCGCACTCGGCCATGGACATGGATCCTCACAAAACTCCGTCCGCCGGAACACAGCTGGTAAGCTTGCTCTCGCTCTCTCTTTCTAGATTCTAGATGTCTCTCTGACGGGCTCGGCCTTTTGGCAGTGACGACAAGGCCACGAACCAAAACGGGAGGAGCCCTTCGCACGCTCCGAGGGGATGCCGCCCTTTGCCCTGCTGGGTGAGGGTTCTCACATCCGCCCTCTCGAAAAGACTAGAGAGAACCCTTCTGAACCAAGGAATCCACACATTTCTTCCCCAGCTCTCTCTCTGGCCAAGCCTCCTTTTCCCTTGCCACAAGGAACATCATCCTGTTCGGGCTAAGACCTTCAAGCTTATCAGGATTAGGGAGGTTTTAGGTGTCAAGTGATCAAGATGAGCGCACCCTGGAGAGAAATGCACGCCCTGCGGCGCGCGCGCGCTCGAGCGAGGTAAGTGGCACGAATTCGCTGTATCCTCACCCTCTTCCCAATTCTGTCTTGCGCTGCCTTCGCTGTTGTTCGGCGGAGCATCAAACTTCACGTTGCCCAAGTGGAGCACCTGATGTGGTGGCGGCCATCTCTCCGAATCGCCGAGGCCGAGGCCAGTGCCGAGGCGACCATCCGCAAGATCTGCGTCACCTCTTCGTGCGGAATCCCGATTGTCTGCATGGCCTGAGCGGGCAACACTGCATAACACCTGCATGCATAATTCGAGTGCGAAACGGCTCTTCGAGCTCTTGGCATGGATCCGCCTCTCAAACATCTCCACGTCGTCCACGTCCTTCCTGAGTCAGGCACCCCGGCGGCCCCTGACTCGGCCACTGGCTTTCTCTGAGCGCAGTCGCAATGTCTTGCAGGAAGATCGCGTCAGGTAAGCGAAGTTCGCCAGATCCGCAAAGCCCTCTCAACAGGCATTTTGACATTACAAAAAAAAATCAGTGTCCGTTGAGCGGGCCTCGAGGTTCAATGTCACCTCCTTCACCTTCTCTTTGGCCAGCCTCTGCGGGAACCTCTTCATTCCGTTGCATATCCACGTGGTTGCAGGATCTTGCCTTTGATTTCTTGGATAGTCACTCGACTGTAAACAAAGTTCTTTGGCAGATGCCTTCCCACCAGGCCGGAAGGCTTTGTTCAACGAAGCGTTTCGACACATTCTCTGAGATCATGGAGTTTGCCGGGTCCCTCCCACCCAACTTCTAAACCTTCATGTCGCGGGGGAGTTCGGGCACACTCTTCGTCTACCGTGCCGAGTAGCGTATAGCCATTGCCAGCAGCCAAAGAAGCCGCTGCGCAGGCCTGGAAAGCAAATCTTGCTAGTGCAAAGACCGGAGTCATAACCTGGCATTCCGTGCCCACAGTTTCGGTGGGCTCTGGTTTTGGATCACGCGCCCGGGGTTTCGGATCATAGTTTCGGGCCCGAGTTTCGGAACAGACCCTGCGGTTTCGGGACGACGGGGTTTTCCTAGCACTTTCGGTCCTGAGCGCTTGCTTCTTCCGCCCACCATGATTGGGAAACCAAAGAGGACTTGGAAACCAGCAAGAGGATCGTCCAAGCTGCGAAACCGGCCTCTGTGCAACAACAGCTCGAATATAGCTTGGACACCGAACGGCGACAGGTGCGACGAAGCCGAAACACACGCACGACAAAAGCAAAAAACAAAAACAACAGGCCAGCAATACGACCGCGACCGACCACGACGACGACAGCAAACAATCGCCGCACGAAAAAAGGATTTAAGAAATCATGACCATGGCGTAAAGAGGGGCCGGGATTAAGAAATGTGACGAATTTGATCGATCGATGTCGCCAAATAAGGGGGCTCAGCCACCATCGCCTGACGAGGGGGGCGGATTTAAGAGGAGTGATCAACGGCCATGGCCTAATTGATGGGAGGATTGGAGAACTGCGGTCAACCGCCATCACCTAATGAGTGCCCGGTTGAAAAGGAAATGCGATCAATCGCCATCGCCCGTTGATGTCGCTGGCTTAAGCAAAGGTGTGATTGACTACGGGGGCTTGATGACGAAGCAGGCTCAAACAGTGTCATCAACCACCTTTGCTTAACGAGGAGGCCTGTCCAAGCAACAGCCATGGCTTAACGAGGGGCGGAACGTGATAAACCGCCAAAAACATGTGGTCAATCACCATGGCATGTTTCCAGTTTTTGAAGAAATGGTGTGATCAACAGCGAGCTTTATGAATTGATCACCCACCGTCGCCTAATGACTGCTGAGGTGTTACCCTCTTCAACTGGCTCCTCCTTAGCCTCCTTCGGTTCCTCCTCACCACTCGACTTGTACAGACCCTCTGGGTTGGCGGTTGCTGTCCTTTAAGTAGCTCTGCCTCGCTGCACATCTGTGGCCGACAGCCCAGGGTACCTGTTCCTAAGACGATCCCCCAGGGTCACCCAAGCGTCGGTTCCCAAGCAAGTTCCGCAGCAAAAGTTGTGCCCCTCGCCAAATCGCGCCTGTAACCTTACGGCTTCCTCTGCTGTGAGGGTTTTGGTGGACCTCGGATCCGGCCGCCTGCTACAAACGCAGCTATCGGCATCACCCGACTCTACCTCACGTTTTCTCGAGCTGCAATGGGGCTTTGCGGGACGCATTGGGCTCAAAAAACGTGCACGTGGCACGCTCAGAACTGTGGAGAGCATGAACGTTGCTCGCAGACGAGGCCCCACCGAAACCACCCCAACGTGAAGCTCAAACAGCTAGGCCGTGATGCCAAAATGCCGGACCTCGTAGAAGAGGTGATAATTTCTCTCGCCCTCTTGTTGGTCACAGACACGCACCTGCAAGTGTCGAAATCGGATGAAGTCGGAAGAAGGGACGAGGGTCGAGACTCGGGCCCCGGGCCTTCTCCAGGAGATAAGTCTGGATCCGGGCGCCACAGAGGCGACAGTTCTCGCCGGCCACGCCTAAAGCTGATGCATCCTCAGCTGCGGCAGTTCGGAGGTTCTAGTGGCTGTTGCGCATCTGTGCTCCACACTTGGCCAGAGCTTCGAAACTGCAACTCGATGAACCTGGGGGGGATGCGGGAGGCCCAGGACTCAGGACTGCAGTGACTACAGGACAAGAGCGAAGGCTGAAGGCTGCAACTTTCCAAAGCGACTGGAGTTGTCATTCCTGCCCAGTTCTGCAAGGGAAGTTCCCTTCGCGTCGCGGAGAGAGTTTGCAGAAAGCAGAAGAAGAAGCGTAGCCTCAAGGTACGGGCGTTGCCAAAGGCTTCGAGCAAAGGGTTCGACTCCAAGACTTGCTTCTCCACCTTCCCCAGAAGAGGTCAGTCATTCCAGCGGAGGGAGAAAGTGGAAAGTGGGAAAGGAAAGTGGGAAGAGGCTGAAGCGCGGCTCGCGGCTCGCGGCTCGCGGCTCTCCGCCACTCTCCGCTCTCTCCGCGGCTGGGAGTCCGGGCGCTGGTGACTTCGCCGTCCGCGGCCCCGGCCATGGCCAGGAACTTCCTCCGCCGCGCGAAGAAGAGAGGAGAAGCACAGAAGCGGAGGAGCAGAGGAGAGCCGAAGCACAGAAGCAAAGGAGCCGAAGGGGAAGCCCTGGCTGGGCTACGCAGCAAATCGCTTAGCTAAGAGAGCTGCTACTCTCTCTGATAGACCCCTCTGCTTTCGCGCTCAGCCGTCGCGTCGCGCTTCTTTGCCGAGGCTCATGACGAACTTCGTCGTCTCCGTCTTTCCGGCTCCAGACTCCCCGCTGATCAGCACCGTCCTCATTCAAAAGCCCCGCCGCGAGGCGCCGCGAGGTCGTGAGCCCCCGACTGGCTCTTGCGACGATCGCAGATGCCGCGGTAAGTGGCGTTGGAGGTGTTGAAGACGTGCCTCGCAGCAAATCCCGCAGCTAAGCGCGGCCGGGCGCTCTCTGAGCGCTCAGGGCGCGAGACGGCTTGCTGGAGGGCTTCGTGGTCATGAAACTTTTCAAGACCTCACAGCAGAAGGCGCGGGCCGTGGGCCGTGGGCCGTGCAGGGCGAATTGCAACTGCGCCTCCTCATCGTAGAGACCGGGAATGCCCTTGAAGGGATTCAGCCTGTTCTCAAGACAGGCTTAGATCACGGCCCGTGGCCCCCGTGGCCGTGCTGCTTGGGGCACTTGGGGCCCGGGCGCGATGAGGATGGGGCCCGTGAAGGTGTAGATCTTGTCGATGTCGAAGCGATTTTGTAGGGAGCTGAGTACCTGTGAATCCAAAACGACGGCCTCAGCGCTTCAGCCAAGCCTCCGAAAAGGGCACTGCCGGCTCGTGCAGGTGCGTCAGCTGACACCTACGGACTGCGGCGGACCTCTTCACACTTCAGAGCTATGAAACCCAGCAGTTCAAGCTCGTCTGCGGCACAGGTCGTCCAGCACAGACAAACCCTCGGAAGTGAAGACATCTGAAGTCCTGTTTAGGCACAGTTCGATGCTCTTGTGGTGCTCTTGCCGGTGTTGCAGAGCTCCCACCTGAGGAAGATGGGCTCGTGAGGCCCCAAGACGATCCTGCTATTCGGGTCTTCTGCCGTCTTCACCTCAGCAGGCAACTCCCAACTCCCTCGCACGAGGGGAGTCAACCTGGCTTTCTGGGCAGTATGAGGAAAGTGGCGATGATCTCCTTATCGTTGGCCGTGACGATCTCCGCCTGGATCCAAACCTCTCAGGGAGCAGAGCAGAACAGGCAAAGCAGAGCGGAGTCACCGGCCTCCTCCTCATGCTTGATCCAGATCAGCGTGCCCTTAAAGGCACAGTACGGAGCAAGAGGAAGAAGATGGGGAGGGGACGGGACTGGGACGCAGCGGGACTTCTCACCCTTTGCCCTTGTCGGTCTTTGCCTTTCTCTCTAGGCCGTGCCAGTGCTGGCTGCTCAGTGCTCGGCCTGTGCATAGGTTTGGCTTTGCATGGTGAGGTCCGGAGAGGGCCTCAGTCTGAGCACCAACTCCAAAAGCGCGCCCGCCTGCCCGCCCGCACGCACGCAAGCACACAACACAACACACACACAGACACACAGACACACAGACACGCAGACACGCAGACACACACACACACACATAATGGGGCACCAGCGCAGGGGAGCGCAGGGGAGCGCAGGGGCCGGGTGGGAGCTAATATCAGCTTGCTTCTGGGATGGATGCTTCTCAAAGTGCAGAAGATGTGGGGTTCTTCTTTGAGTGATGCTGATGCCCCGAGGGGGACGGAGCGTTTAGAATCGCGTCTGACTTCGCTACTCGCCACGACCGGAAGCTGACACTTGGGCCAAACGGCCCGAGCACAGTTCTGCAGACCTCGAGCCCTGTCACATCGGCCAGCTGAAGCACTGGAAGTGTGGCACCTTACGTTTACGTTGGCTGCCCCCTGGCGCTGAGAACGACAGCATTCGGCATGGCCACCTGGTTGCAGCAATAGCGGCCGCCGTGAGCAGAGCCACGTGACGCATGCCTTGTTCTTGGCGAGCCATTTGGGTGCCTGTGACTCGGCTGACTCTACCATGACTCCATGCAGCGCTTTTGCCGCGCTCGTTGCAGTGCCTCATAGTCGTAATCCATTCGGGGGGTTGTTCGAAGCTCGTCCACTACCTACTCACTGAATGGAATCGAGAACCCAAGAGCAACACAGTAATGTGCCTCCTTCTCGTGGCACGGCCGCATGATGCACAGAGACCTGTAAGGCGCCATGGTCAAAACACCCAGTGCTGACACAAAGTGACCTGCTGCGCCCTCATCGCTACCAAAAATGCAATAACGCGGGCTTGGTGCCATGCCAATCAAGCAGGCCAGCTCTGCGTTCAAACCTGGCATGTGAGCTCGAGCTATGGCTCGCAAAAGCACTCTCAGACTCGATGAGTGTCTCTTCCTCGAGGCTAATTACTTGTGTGGTTCCCCATCTGTGCTTTGTCCCAGGGCAAAACTTTTGATGTCACTTCAGTCCTCTGGGGCTCTCCACTCATCGGGCGATTACAACTCATCTGGTCATGGAGGTAGCTTTCCCTCCCGTAATGTTTTTGCGTGGGGATTTGATCTTGATGTTGTCCCTTGTCGCTCACCCCACCGAGCTAATGAATGTGAGCGTGGTTGCCCTCAACACACGTGATAATCTATCACCTTCACGTCCACGTTCAGACGCTTATCCCTGGCAGGCAGATTCAGAGCTCACTTGTTTTCACCTTTGTGATCGGCGATGAATCGTCTGTGCTCGGGATGGCTCTGTTCCTCAGAAAGGTCACAGAAGACAATAAGCTATGCTAACCTTTTGGCACCGGTTTCTTGAGCCAAAGTTGCATCGGCGGCATAGGAACACAGAGTGTAGCACTGTGGTACGCGAAGCGTTCCCCAGGCGTCCACTCAGAGTCGAGGTACGTGAAACGTTCCCCGCTCTTGCCTTTACAAGTCATAGCTCATAGCTCTTATCGTGACACCACAGAATTGACTGGATATCTCAGTCCGTTCGCACCCCCCATTAGTTGTGCCTCCGGCACTACTCACCCGGAAGATGGCGCGATTGGAAATACTAGGGATTGATCCGCCGCAACTTTGAAATGTTTGGAACAAAAGCCTTGCATCCCAATTAGAAATGGCGTGACACTCATCTACGTGAGTAACGATCCCCCAAAATGGCATACAGCATCAGGCGTCACCGAAGAAAGGGCATTCGTGATGAAGATCACGAACATATTGCCAAGGTCACGACCATGGCGTTATCGCAACTCACGTGTTGTCTCGGATCCACTGGCGAGCACGAGCCGGATCGCCACGTTCCCATGGTTGAAGGTTGTCCTCTGGATTCTTGGACTTCCCTTTCCCTTTTCCTTTGCCCTTGGAGTCATGGTAGGAATTTGTGTTCCATCCTCTCCATCGTTGGTCTCGATCACGGGTAGAAGCTTTCCCTGCGGGTTCACTTTCAAGGGTGGTTTTGTATCGGTTTTTTCGGGCTTCTGCGTTTTTACGTACTTGGAAAAAACTTTTATGGGCAAGGGTTTGGGAAGTATGTATCGTGACCTTGTTTCGTGTGTAGTGATAACTGGTTGTTCTGGGGATTGGTATTACTGAGTTGTATGTACTGCACGTGGCGTGTAATGATGATGATGGTGATGATGATGATGATGGTAATGCCGGCAATGATGATGACGATGCTGACGCTGATGATGTTGATGATGAGACGATGGGTCTGATGGTGTTGTTGCTGATGATGGTGGCGACGGCCTAACCACAAAAGCCTACACCCAAAGCCCTAATTCATGCAGTTGTTTGGAGTTCAAGCTGTAGGCAAGGAGGGATGCAGGGCTTGCGACTTTGTGGTAAGCGTTCCTGTCACAGTTCCGGTAAGGGTCGATAATTGGTTTATAAGGATGTTGTTCCGAGTCCTGTCCTTGCAAACGGCGATTGAGTGCCTTCCTACGAAAGTAGCGAACATGCCAAACCCTTGGCTCGTGTGAGTCGGGGTTCCCAGGATTCTTCGTTGTTCTCTCTCGTGTCAGTAGCACGCTTGCAAAGGGAACTTCGCTGCTTGATTTGTGTTCGCTTGAACAGAACGTCATTACTCCCCCCCACCCCCCACCCCCACCCCCCCGTCCCGCCCAAAGAGCAGGCAAAGCACATGACCGAAAACAACATCGACGCAAAAAAACGCAGAAAAGTGCAGGGAACTTTGGAGCTTGATTTGCGTTCGCGTATCTCGGTGTAAAAAAACAAAAACAGCGCGAATCAGACAAAACACTCGGCTACCAAGAGCGGAACACATGTAACAAGGCGAAAACCTCGCGCAGGGCGGTGTTTTCCATGTGCCGGAAGGGCCGTGCGAAGGAGAAGGGCATGCAAAGGCACACAAACAACAGGAAAAAGCACCCTTGAAAGTGAACCCGCTAGGGAAGCTTTGGGAGCAGGTTTGGGAGCTGCAACACGCTGGCTTTCTTCAGCTGTAACCGAAGTATCCATGAAGGAAGTTTGTCCACGAGGAAGGTATTCGGACGCTGAGATGTGTTGTAGTGCAGGACGTGCAGCATTTGGATTTCTCTTCTTCTCGATTTTGCCCGAAGTGAGCTTGTCGATGAACTTCGATGGCAACTGGATGTTGTGGTCGATGAGCACCGCAATCGTCTGTGAGGAATTGTCCTTGGTGCTTTGCATCAAGAGGACGCCCACAGGATCGACGTGGAGGAACTCCACGGGTCCAGTCGGAGTAGGTCGAATGAGAGAACAACTGCATGTGTCCTGTGATCTTCGGGATGATCTCGCAGAGTACGTTCAAGCAGCTGAAGTGCAAGATTTTCGGGTCATTCTCCCTCTTTATGTAGGTTTGAGGGTTGAAGACATCTCTGCCGATTCCCATCTGAATTGATCCTCGAACCAATGATGAAACCATTTGGTTCGTCCGGAAGCGCTTGAGGGTATAGATGCCGTCCGGGTCATCAGGCTCTTCCCTTTCCCTGGCATACCGAAGAATCTCTTCATCACTCACCTCCTTGCTGATTCTCGTGTCGGGATCGAGCTGCGAAAATTCGCCTTTCCACCCACCGAGAACATCATATCGTTGCCCTTGTTCGAACGATTCTTGCATCTGAAACATCGGAACTGTGAGGCACCTCGATAACCCAGGCCATGACTTGTAGATAGTCCTGCATAAGACGTAGGCCATGTAGGAGAACGCAGCTCTGTTCGCGTCAATGCAGCAACCAAGACCCTCTATTGTAGTAATAAGGTGGTTGCATGGCCGCGCGAGCAATTTGGAGTTCAGGATCAATGTTCAACGATTGTCCGGGAACGAAAACCGGTCGACGTTCTTCAGTGACTCGAGATGCACTTTTGCGCCCGGCGGGAGTCTGCACATGTGCCGGCTGCTGGAATGGTCCATCAGCAGTGGAAAATTTCGGTGACCTTGGGCCGGGTGGGAGGGTTCTTGAACCGAAAACCGCCGTAAGCTCGTTTCTCCCTCGTCACTACTGTCAGTGACTCAGTGACTCGAGATGCACTTTTGCGCCCGGCGGGAGTCTGCACATGTGCCGGCTGCTGGAATGGTCCATCAGCAGTGGAAAATTTCGGTGACCGTCATTCCCCATTAAATCCGCACATGTCCAAACTAGCCTCCTGGCCACAGATTGTACCAAACGTTGCTCTGAATGCCTTGCTTCTTCCAGGCCCACGCCTGCCTGAGAATATCGGTAAAACCTCCAGCGATCTGCATGAGCTTGTCCTTCTGCGGCCGTGGCAGCGACGGCAGAAAAGTGTTCGCTGAGATCTCCTGAAGATAAACTTCCATGACCTTGGCCGAGGCCCACCTGCCTCGACGTCGAACCAATTCGGAATCTTCGGTTTGCTGCAGGATGTAAGTGGCTCCTCCAGCTCTGAAAGAACCCAAATCTAGTTCTCGGACGCCATGTGGGGCCGGAGATGCCCCGATCCTTTTGAGAATCGAATCCAGGCGCTTTCGCAGAGTTTGTGGAGAAAGGGCCCACAAAAGCTCCCCTCGTTGAAGATGTTCGAAAGAAAGTTCGATAACGCTGACAAGATCTGCGGCCTCAACCTTAGCAGCCTGATGGCGAGGTCCTTTATGTCTCGTCTTGGGCTCCTCGATACGCACCAAAATATATTTCTGCGTGTCACAAACGTCACTAGGCAGCACCAGTGACGAACGTTTACACTGAATAACCTCGCCGATTCGCAGCAAACCACCGAAAGCAAGAGCGAAGCAGCCAGCCTCCCGGGTCCAGCCCCAAGCCAGGCTCGCGGAAAGGATAGCTATCAAGATGACAGCCGGGATAGCCGTGTGATGGGATGTCGGTTCCTCAATGAGCCAAGCCAAACCCAAATCCCATGCAGCTTGGACCTGTCTTCTCAAAACCGGCTTCAGAGACGTCACCGCGTTGATTGTCTCGGAATAATGCCAGTAGGGCCGTCCTGAACCATACAGATCACGGCCATACCGGACAACCCAGTCGCTGACAGCCTCTGCATCGAGCGGCTTCGCAGAAAGTAGAGCATCCAAGCTGAAACCGGCAACCTCGAGGAGCCATTGCGAAAAAGCTGCGGCTAAATCAACCCTGTAAGAACCAGTTCTAGGGAGCACGACTCTTCCAGCGGGAAGTCCAAGAGGAGACCGCTTTGCCGCACGAGCAACGTCAGCGGGGTTCCTCGGAGAGAGGACGGACAGGCAGGTGGAGCAGCCCAAGAACACAAAAGTCCAGAACAGAGCAAGGCGGGAAGGCCCCTCACCTGGGTAGCCGAGGGAAGAGTCAAAATCAAACTCGGCTCGGTGTGCAATGCACCACTCACGGTGATCCTTCTTAGGGGCCGGCGTTTAGGAGGCTCCTTAACGCAGAAAGCAACAGCAAGCTTGCACGGCCGGGTGAGATGTACTCTACGGCTGTCAAAAACCTTCGGGCCGCTTGCAACGTCGTAGAGCTCTCCTGTAAGTTGCTTCCCGCGGATGGTCTCACACACGGCCCCACCTGGAGACTGCACCCAAACCTCACCACCACTAAAAAGACTTATGGGGCATATGAGGTTGAAGGAAGCATCAGGGTGATTGCGATCCGAATGGGGGCTAGCCTTAACCTGCTGAAGCAAAGCAACGGCGGTGAATGGGAAGCCTGGGCTATAGACCTGACGAAACAGCAGACAAGCTCGGTCGACTTTGGGAACTTGGCACACGAAACCCGGAGGCCACAGAGGGGGCCTTGGGCATAGGCTCCGGTGGTCCAGTGCTTAGAGTCATCGTTATCGCCGAAGCGGTCTCTGCCTTCACAGGGGAGGAGGTCGAAGAGCTCTCCAATGGTGAACACACCGGTCTTTCCTCCTTGCAGGGCCCACGATGCGAAAGCTTCGGCTGGATGCAATGCCGATCCAGCAGGCATGAAAAGGCTAGCTGGAGGTGCCCCGGGGCATCCTCTCCAGTCATCGCTGCAGATGCTCTTTATGAGCCTTTCACGTGGGGAGCCAACGGGCATGAGCAGGAGACAAAGCCGGACCCATCTGGCGCGCGACTTGTTGGCACCTGAGAGCGTGCACAGTTCAACCGTCGCGGCTTCACTCAGTTCCCGAAGGACAGATTCGGGGTGCGGCTCGCGCAGCGGCACGTCTCGAGTGGGATCATCGGAAATGTTCAACCTCGTGGGGCCATAGAGGTAAGCTGGGAAGATTCCCCCGGCGACACTAATGGCGGCAGCCCTCCGAAGGCTTGGCCTTAGCAGCTTAGCGGACGAACGTCCTTTGGCCAGCGCTCCTCTAGCGCACGAGGAGTCAAGGATCAGGACCGGTCTGGAATCCCGGCCCTCCCTAGCGATGTCCCTAAGCTTTGTCACCGCAGCCTCTGTCTCCAGGCAATTGATGTGCCGTTGCCGCTTCCATGCCCATTGCGAATCAATTTGCCAATCACCTATGAGAAGGACCTCATTGACTGCTATGTTCTCCAACCCTGGGCTGAGAGGGCGGTCATTGGCGTTGGCAGAGGCGGCAGACTGCAGAAGGCTAACCAACCCAGAGGCAGCGGCCTGAGGCACAGAGCGGCTAGCCCAGAAAAGCTTCGGAAACTCAGTCGGGCAGAAAGCTAAGCCAGGCTGGCCCAGGCTACCTTGAGCCCCGATCGCAGGTGGAATGATCAGGACCTTGTCGACCGCCAGGAGATTCCGTGCTGGGGCGGTGGTCAGCACTCCCGCCCCTTTCTTATACAAGAACACTGCCGGAACGGAGGCCCTCACTGCCGCTTTGAAAAGGGCAACGCTGCGTTTGAAGATCAGGCTGGCCCCTTCAGTGACGGGACCTCTTCCATCGCGATGTTTCAGCAGGCAGGGGGTCAGCCCCGCCGGGAAAACAATGGCAATGCTGCGGGCTTTCCTAGCCCAAATCAAGTAGAGGGCCCACGAAGATCGTACTCAGGGGAGTGCCTTGGGTCTATAACAGGCGAGCATCTAAGACCCTTATCAGCTGCGGCAACAGCTAATCCGGCAGCTCCCTCGAAGATGAGGAGAACATCGAAGTCAAAGGCGAGGGGCCTTTTGGCTGCAACTTCAAGCTCTCCGTCCTCGTGGTCGGAATCGGGGGGAATGCAGTGTGTTGCTCCGCCGTCGAGCATTGTGTAGCATCCCTTCTTTTCGGCTGCTAGCCAGAGCGAGGCTGCAACCTCCTCCGGCACTTTGGTAGAGCACGTCGCTCCACGGTTCATCGAGGCATCAGAACAGAATACCCTGTCACAGAAAGGAGCAGCAACATTGCTGAGAAGGACAGGGGCAAGCGAAGCCAGGACGACGAGTTCCTGGGCAACCTTCCTCGGGAGAAAACGAAGGCCACTTCCAGAGGCCTGGGCTGAGGACTTACCGAGCCCAAAGAGGCCATCGAGCACGGCAAAGAGCGGTCTCCTGAACATCAGAGCGGAGATTCAGGACCCAGCGAGATTTGAGGCAAGCTCCTCGGAGATGGCAGGCATCGCTGCAGTCTTCAAGCTGATCACCGAAAGGGCGAGAAGCTTCGGAGTTGCGGCCGAAACGAAGCAGCAACCGGCCTCAACAACCTTATCTGAAGAATCAACCTGGGCCCCCGCGCACACTATAAAGTCAGCCCCAAGGATATCCTTATCGGGGGAGCCCTGAACTTGATCCCTCTCATAGATCACGTGGGCTGCTCTGACACGGCGGGCGGCCTCGGAGGAGGCTGGATCAGCAGATGCAGGCTCTGAGGAGAGGCAGTAGTAATCGTCTATAATCAGACCCTCCCAGGTGCCAAGCCGAGACGGCGCCCTTTTTGCCAGCAGACGAGTAGGTGGGAGGAGCAACCCTCCTTCCTCAAGAAGGTTCCCGTGCGCCTCCGTCCCGTATTCTACTCCAACATGGTCGCCTTGGTAGACTGATCGAAAACAGCCGCAGGCTGGAGTCTCTGGGTCGAAAAGATGGCGGGGCAGCACAGCCGGGGAAACCAAGCGGGCTTCTTCTGAGACGGACGCCAGGGGCCGTGAGGGTCGTGGTCGCGCGAGTTCGGATCGAACAAGCGCTCTAGCAGCACGCAGAGTCTCAGTGCCCTCGAAATCCTCCAAGCGAAGCCTAGGACCGGCAGCGTTTCCCTCGGCCTTTGAGCAAGATACCTTTGCCTGATGGTAAAAATCAGCCCGATCAGTACTAGCCCCGATGATCTTCGTACCTGGCTTGGTAGTGATGCACGTGAGCATCTGCCCGGGCGGCAACAGTTTTGAAGGTCCATGAACTCGGCCCTCGCAGCCGTTGGCCCCTCGTCGGTCGCCGATCTGGCGGTCGGCGGCGTCGGACTTGTAAGCCCCGAACACCCGAGTCAGCTCTCGCGGAGCCTTCTCATTAGTCGAGATGTACAGCAGACCTCTGGCGTCCCAAACTCTGAAAAGATCACGCATCCTCACGGGGTCCTCACTGCTTGCATCAGGGTAGGGCAGCGAGTTTGGCGGGATAGACCTCAGCACACGGGGCTCCAGAAAGGGGAGCAGAAGCTCAGGCCCCAGGTAGCGCTCGAGAGGCCACTCGCCTCGTCCACTTATCTTCAGTCTCTTTGGGTCTGCGTCCCGATAGGGCCTGAGTGCTTCGGGGCCGTCTGCCCCATGAGGAACAAAACCCGAAGCAAAATTCTCCCTAGGGTAAGGAAAGGCAGAGAGTCCCAAGCCCGACAAATGCAAATCGAGCTCCCTCAGCCTTGCGATGAGATGGGGCCCTCGTCGGCCCGCTGCGAGGGAATGAGACCCTCGCTCACTGCACGCTCTCAACATGGTCCTCAGCCTCTAGATCGTCTCGTGCAGAGGAGAAGGCGATAGGCATAGGCGGTCGACGGGCACATGTTTGAAGTCGGAGTGGTTGAGTCGGAGTGGAGGAAGTTCAGGCACATCACCACAATGTGAAGTACTCTCTCAAGGAGCACTCGCCTGCCTTCGGATCCAGCCTTTGATGTAGCCTGAGACACCTGAGGGCCGCCCGGTCCAAACAAAGACAAGTCTGGTATGGGCAACGGGAAGAGAGCGGTAAGGGAGGCCGGAGGGCCTCTTGAAAGGGCGCAAAAAGTGCTCTGTAGGAACTTCGCAAAGGAGGTCCTGCTAGCAGAGATCAGACGTGGCAGAGCAGAAGCCCAAGTCCAAAAGTCAAATTCAGAGCAAAAGTCGGGGACTCCGTCAAAAGGGGATGCATCCGATGCTCGTGGTGCGGCATGGGGTTTCGTAGTGCTCGTAGTCACGCAAGTAGCGGCACAACCAGACGGCCCTGTGGAAGACCCAGTCGTATGCTGGCAGGGCGGAAGCAGCCTATCAAAAGGGCGCTCTGAAGTAGCAGTTGCTGAAGGTGGGACCTCATCAAAGGTGGGAGACGGAGGCTCGGAGGCGAGCCCAAAGCCAGCATCATCAGGCACTCCGGCCTGGGACTGCAGACTACATCCTAAACCCTGAGACGAGGCCTTATAACCAACCGGCAAGGGACTATGCTTAGGGAGATCAAGGGGAGGAGAGGAGCAGACGGGGCCAATACAAGGCCACTCATCTGCAGGCTCCGCATCCTTGGGAAGGCTCCGATTCAGCTCTTCGGCTGAGCCGCCGCCTTCCTTTCCGCCCAGAGTTTTGCCCTTTGTTGTTTGCGAGACAGGGTCCCCAGCGCTTTCGGTGGCACATCCGGGGGCGGTGCCCCGCTGGGCTTCTTTGTCACTTCTGCCCGCCGCGATTTCCTTTACATAGGAGAGCGCAGTAGCCACCCACCTCGGATCCGATAAGTGGCTGCACGGGCGCAGGCTGGAGCCTGCCACGTTTGACGGGGCGGAGAACAGCTGGCTTGGTGGATCCGGTTGGAGTGTTAATATCCAACCAAGCTCTGGAGAACCAGAGTCTAGGACCATCTGGTCCACCATCACCATCAGCATGGCTAAAGCATCCTTTGCCCCGGCGACCTGGTCTGTACCCAGCAAATCGAAGATTTGGGCCAACTGCCACTGCACCAGGCCCCAGGTACGGTGGTCTCGGAAGCCACCGTATCGTTCGAGGTACCTGCACATCACCGACCTTCCAATCGCGTCCTCGCCAACCTGGAGAGGGCCGGAGGCGGGGTCCATTCTCCTCAACGCAGCCTCCTGTACTTTCTCGTAGAAAGACCCATTGCGAGCCGCAAGCTCCTTTTGCAACTTCAATCTGGCCGCCGAACCCTTGGTCGACAGGGACGAGCTTCCTCCACCAAGATCGGAGAGAGGATCCGATGAGCTGGCCATCTGAGCCACCAGTGCAGTTAAGCTGCGATTGGTCCACCAGTGTCCTGCGGCTCCTCCTCGATTGGGCTCCCAAACCGTCGTCCATCGGGAGCCCATCCAGATCGGCGAGAGGGGCCTTCGTTCGGGGAGGTGCCCCAAGCAGGGCTGACACTTTCTTTGGCCTTGCGGGGCTCGCTGCAATCGCTGCTGAAACAGGCATGGCCAAACCCGGCTGAGGCAGTGGGACCGCTCTTGTCTGAAGCACCTGAGGCGGCTCGGGAGTCGGGGCCACCACGGCTTTGCCTGCACTTGCGAGACTCTGCACCTGAGTCGACAAAGCTTGCAGGGCCTGCATGATGTCCAACTGCTGCGCGGCCAACCTCTTTGGCTCCACTGGAGGCCCCTTCGCTCGTCTGCCCAAAGCTGGGGGCTGGTCCGGAACCAGCTCCTCCGCCGTGCCTCGGTCTCCTTCCACACCTGCGGTCCAGCTGGTTGCAAAGGTGACCAGAGCAGTTGCCAAGGGATACATGTTTGGGTGCTCGGAATCGAAAGGGACCATATCTGCAGCGCCATCCACCTGCAACTCCACGCCAACAAGGGCTTCGTCTGAGAAGTCGGCAAGCAAAACGCTGAGGTTTCTGGCCGGGTAAATGCCGGCCCATTCTCCCCACTCCACCAAGTGCCCCACGAAATCCTTCCCCGGATGCATCCAAAAGCACCTGAGCAGGCAGATATCCTGTCTGCAGCTACTATTTCCTCCATCGCTGGTGTAGGCAGGACTAGGGGTAAGTGCAGGCGGCTGCTGCAGTAAATATTCTGGCCTCGGTTTCCGAAGCAAATCCGTGGGAAACCACCCGAATGTAGGGATAGGGGGGAAAGAGGCTTCGATCTCAGCTCGAGTCTCAGCACGGGATGGACTAGGGGTTGGCGGGTTAGTGAGCTGGAAGCCGGGGCACTCGGGGCCCGTGATGCACTGGAGGCTGCTGCCCGAGGCGGAGTCCTGGGAAGCGGTTCAGGTGATTGGCCAGGAGGCCGGGTCCTTGTGATGGAAATTCGAAGCCCCTCGAGCTCCAAAGACAATTCAGTCACAGCGTCAGAGGCGGGTTCGCCCATACAAGGAGAGCCGGGCCTGCCCTACCGTAGGTTGTGCCGGCTCGGACACCCTGCTGTTCCGCGCGAGGCTTTGAAGTCTCAAAGAAGATGAGGAGAGGATGAAGTAAGCAGCAAGCCCAGCTGCTGTCAGAAATCCAAGAAGATAGGAAAGGGGGATAGCCGGGAGAGCTGCTCCGTTACAGTGAACAGGACACCTCAACCCCCAAAGATCACTCCTCACACCTTCCAAAACAAAGCTCAAAGCCTCCCGGAAGACAGGGCCCCACACCATTCTTGAACCGAAAACCGCCGTAAGCTCGTTTCTCCCTCGTCACTACTGTCAGCCACATTGGCAGGCACATCGTCGTCGAAGTCGGCCTCTTCCTCGTCGTCAAACATCTCTGCATCAAGCTCCTGCTCGACCTCCGAGACGTGAACATCTTCTTCTTCGTCATCGGCTTCTGGCAACCCCTCTGGTTCTGCAACTGTTTCCGTCTCCATTGCTTCTTGTTCTTCCTTGGTCGCAGCTGGGATAGCTGCCGCTGCAGCTTCCATCGTTTGGGCGATAGACTCACTAGGGCACTAGGGATCTCCGAAGGAGGCTCCCTTTGTGGTGTTCCTGATAGTGACCACAGGATATGAACAACGACCAACACGAAGTACGCCTGGTGAAGCAGGCGGGAACGATGTGATAGCAAGCGGGACAAACCCTCATCTTCCTTCCACCCGAATCTCGTCGAAGATCTTCAGGTCGCCAAAGCTTGATGAGGAATGTAATGCCTTCACGCATGTAGTGATGACGTACGGTGTTCTCGCGGTGCATGTCAAGAGTCCCGGCGAGTGAGCGCAAGAGCTGCTCCTTCGCTGAATTGTGGGGACCAGACGGCATCTCGCACACCAGTTCCATGATCCTTCCTGGAGTCCTGTAACGTTCGAATTCAGGCAGCAATGGAGAAGCTGTGAATTCCAACGCCACTTCGTCTTCAAGTCTTTCATCGAAGATCTTTTTCACCACGGCAAACGAGTGGCTGTCCCTTGGTTCGGGGACGCAAAACCAAACTTCCTTGACGAATGAGAAGGGCAGTGGTCTCTTCCAATGATGATCACTCCGCTGTCTGTGATCCGCCCTCCTTCTCGAACAAGGTCGCCAGATGGAATGTGCGAGCGGCATGTGCTCATTTCCACGTCCATGCACCCGTGTCTTCGTTGTAGCATTCCTTTTGTCGAACGGCGCAAAGATTCCAACGTAGCTGTGAAAGCGTCCATGTCCCCATGAATGATGACGCTGGTCGGAATCCGGTATGATGCCACTCTGGACGATGGAATCCAAGTTTCGACATGCTGTTGCGTGAAACGCCCCCCCCCCCCCAGACGGCCCAAAAGACTCATCGAAGGAGAAATCGCGAACTTGTCTTTGTCCAACTGAAGCAAGTTGTTCTCCGGGTTAGAGTGCACTGAATGACCACTCGTAGCACGCACAGCCGAGGGTTTAACCCAACCATCGCATTGTCTGAGATAGCGCCGCTGGTTCCGAGTGTTCTCGTGCATCTGGATCTCGTGGATCTGGTCTTGCATTGAGACAAGGCCCCTTGTGTTGGCCATGCCAAGAGGCCCAGAATCAGCAAGAGGATCCTTTACCCTTACTCCAACGAATTGAAGTCTGATCTCCTTGTGCCTCTTGGCGGCGGCGATCATGTTCCCCTGGCAGAGCAACTGCAACCTTTGGTTGCACACTCGCTTCCTCTGATCTTGGTCAGTTGGTGATACCGGCTCCGTAATAGCGCGGCTATGATGGGTCCATAGCTGTTCCATTCTCACCAAATCTTCAATAAGCACCCATCCGCCTTCGTCACACCTGATGACATTCTGGAATGCGACACGGCACTTGCCATCCAGCCATTCTGATCCCGCTTTCCTCGCAATTCGGTGTCGAAGATCAGACTGTATACACGACAATGCCCAGTTGGCGCTCCTGATGGCATGGTAGGGAAGATTGCGCACAATGACGTCCTGGACAAGGTCCCAGCGTTTGTTGATGAATGTGGTTCCTTTCACTGGAATCAAGTCAAGGGTACCACATCGGATCGGATGTCCGCCTCCGATGCATTCGTAGCCAGGGTTCGACCAACGTTCCAAGTCGGCATCGTAGTCGTAGATCGGCTGATCCCCTCGTTGAGGTAGGCGACGATCCCGATGGTCGGGCATTTCCTCTATCAAGTCAACGAATCTTTGGCTATTTTCGGGGCCTATGTCCTTCAACTCGACTCCACATGCCCAATACAGGCCACGCCTGTTGTGAACATCGTTGCAGAGATTGTGTGAAGTGTCGTACCTGGTCAATATCATCTCACTTCGAACGGCTCCCCCTTCCACGACGTGGTCGGGCTTTAGCCTTAGGCCTTCGCTCTGAGGACGCTGCACTTGCGTTCTCCGCGGCGTCAACATCCATGCTGTCGTTCTGAGGGGTGGATGCTGGCCTTGGATAGCGGTGAAGGTTGTTCTTGATGGCTTCAATTCCACGTGTAACAATCGCATGCGTACCTGCATCATTGTTGCACGAGGCCAGTGTATGAGTGTCACTGCCGCAGGCTATGCAAAACATGAGCCTTTGGCGCTGGACCTCCGCTTCCCGGGACCAGCACCTGATCGCAAAAAAAGCCATGCCACGAATAGCACAGGTGTGCGCAGGTCGTTCTGGCACGACTTCTTTATCATGCTGACTAGGTTGTCTTCGTCAGCACTAGAGTTCAAGAGCTCCTTACACAAGATGCGAGCGCCTCCCTTGGCGCGCCCGGCAGAACCGTTGCCCGAACCGCAGAGGTCGACAACCACACTATCGGCTTTGCCCGACGTGGCGCCGGAAGGCATAGCGACCAACCTCCCGTTGCCCGACGCCTGAAAGTTCAGGGGTTTGAGCAACCTTCTGGATATCTGGCTAGTCAAGTCAATTCGCACTTCTCAGATCGCTCCTTTGCATCTTCATCGTTGAGATGTGCATGCTTTTCCGTGCATTTATCAGACGACTTAGGCTGCAACGCGACGTTTGCGGCAAAGAACTCCCATTCACTCTTGCAGTAGCCGAGTTCAACGTCTCCTCCTGGGACCTCAGGGATCTTGTGGACACGACGCTGTCCATGGGTGCAACCATCAACTTTGATGCTTTTCCACGATTCATCGGCACAAAGCATCTTATACTGCTTTGTTGCTTGAACAGGTACATGAGGAGGCACTTCAAAGATGACTTGAGCCCCCAGTGAGCTGCTCTGCGCGCAATTCTTTGGACGACCTCTGTCCTTTCGGGGTTATCGAAGATTTTCCGACTCAACCACGAATTCTTCCCAAGTACCCCTGCGCCAATGAAGATCGCAGCATTCGGGTTCTTCTGCCTCGTTCGTGCAACGTCGAACAAGTAAGAGCACATGGCATCATCGACTTCTCGGCCCATGCTGAGAACGTTCACTTGAGATCTCGGGTCGTAGTGAGGATCCGGAGCATGTTGCATAACGCAGTCTTTGCCCGAAACGAATTCATTCCACCAATTTTCTTCATCAACCCCCACCAGAGTCCAGATCGTAACCGACTTCGGAGCATCCTTGATTGTGATGCGGTACTCCAGTCTGCTGTGTGGATCCCTGTATGTGTGAACGAACCCCCATCGTAGTCGTAAAACTGAATCATCAGCCCATTCTTCCTGTCGTTCTCCGCGATTTCGACTACGTGCGGTACGATCGCTTCACCATATCCTTGTAATTCCCTGCTCTTTTCAGCCATATCCTCCCACACATCTTCTAACACGGCTGTCCATTGGTCGTTTCCGAAGTGCGAAAATTGACCTTTGCGTGCTCCGTTGAAACCAGAAGGTAATGTGAAGCCTGGTACCCCCCATGGATGGCACGCGCCAGCGCGACAACCACCGCACCCCACCAGGCGGGCAGGGCGCGCACATAGCGCTGACCCATAGGCGGCGTGGGAGCATAAACGACGTCGATGCTGTCATGCTCCTGCAAACCCTCCTTACTCGACAGACCAGCACGACACAACACCTGAGGAAGGATCGGCGTCTCAGTGTAGGGAAAGCAAGGCACCTCGCTCTTGAACGAGTAGTGTTGTTGCCCTTTCTCGTCTGCACTTTGCGAGTGAGTAGGGCGCATCAGGTCCATGATCTCCTGGGAGCCAAGGAGGGCCGGCGGAAAGATGTTGATCAACTGACACGCATGCGTCCACGAGACTGAGTCTTTGAACGACTTCGTGTGTATATCCGCAGCCATTTTGGCAGTGACCTCATAGGCAAGAGAAACGTAACCTTCTTGAAAGACAGAATGCATCCAGCTCATGCTGATGCCGTGGGTACGTTCCAAGTGACGCATTGTCGGATTCTTGCCAGTGCGAATCACCCCGATCATGGTCTGATTATCGTCATAAAAAACGAAGTTGGGGTCTTTGCCCCCTAACTGCTGCCACAAAGTAATAGCAGGAAGACCAAGGCGTGTCATTACAAAGTCGGCCGCGACAATCTCGGCCTCAGGTGTGGGGTGACTAAGGCACCCCTGGCTTTTGCTTAACCCCGCCAAGGGAAACCTTGTGTGCGGTCCATGGATGTGCATGTGAGCACCGGAA